TTGAGGCTTGGCTCCAGCTCTTAGGCCTCCGCTGCTGAAAGTAGGTTTCTGGCCTTTGCTTACAATGTTGCGATTCTGCTGGCTGAAGCCCGGTGGACTAAAGCAGGTTTCTGGGGTTTTGTTTAGCTTCTATATTTGTTACATAGTTGCTTAGAGTTGCAGCTCAGAGGCCTGCAGCGGCAGGCGGGGAACGTTGGAGTCCTCCGTCACTGAAGCAAGCAAGCCTCATGTTAGTTTCAAGCTGCCTGGCTGCCGGCCTCCATCTTGGCTGGCAGTTAATTTGCATATCGCCCTGATTAGCCAATGGGAAGGGTAGCGGTCGTACGCCAATTACCATGTTTCTCTTTTATTAGATAGGACTAGAGGCACAGTGCACCGTCTCCAATCCGGGACCCCTTGAGGGATGTCCAACTGCCAGTTTAGGCCTGACCCCTGTGGGATTGGGCCTAAACTGGCAGTCGGACATCCCTCTCGCAATCCGGGACTGCTGGCTCCTAACTGCTCACCTGCCTGATTATCCCTAACCACTCTACCTGCCTGCCTGATGCCCCTAACTGCTCCCCTGCCTGCCTGATCGCCCCTAACCACCCTCCCCTGCCGGCCTGGTGGCCCCTAACCACCCTCCCCTGCCGGCCTGGTCTCCCCTAACTGCCTTTGCCTCAGCCCCCGCCACTGTGGCTTTGTCTGGAGGGCTGTCCCATCTAATTAGCATATTACCCTTTTATTAGTATAGATAATAATAAAAGAATAATATGCTAATTAGACCAGACATCCTTCTGGATGAAGCCATGGCAGCGGGGGCTGAAGCAGAGGCAGCCGCCATGGCGGGCAGGGGCCAAGGCAGAGACGGCCATCATCGCGGGTGGGGGCCAAAGCAGAGGCAGCCACTGTGGCAGTGGGGGGTGGGGGAGGGGCCGAGGCAGCCACGGCAGTGGGGGCTGACCCCCTTAAACGAATTTCATGCATAGGGCCTCTAGTATAGGATAATTGAATGAGAAGAAAGGATAAAAAAACAGTGGCTCATCTCTCTCAAAGGATTGCCTTGCATCTCCAGTACTAATACCCCTGAGTCCATTTCACTGGCCTAAGTCTATTTCTCTGTACCACACAGTTCCTCCTTTATCTATCTACAAGAAAACTTACAGTCATTCATAGTGTTTTCCATAGATTTACTTATTTTCACTTTTTGAGGCCTGATTACATTCACTGTAGTAGGGACAGACTATCATTCTCTTTTTATTCCTGATTACTAGTACCTTTGGTTGCATTATGCAAATGCCAGTATTTAAAACAAGTACTAAAAGTTTTAAAAAAAACCTTTAGTAGGAAATGAAGTAAACTGTTCAAATATTTTTATTTAACATGCTTAAATTTGATATACTCTTTTTCTCTTAAGGGAATTTATTTTTACTGAATATTGATATGTTATATTTGGAAAATCCAACATAATTTCACATTCAGAATAATTGCTATTGTAATTGTCCTTCCAGATAGTTAAAATACTGTGGGGGGGGGGGGGGAGGTGTGTGTTATTTTCATAAATCAATTTTTGGAAACATACTATTCTGTTTCTGAGTTTTTTCACATAACAGTAAATTACAGACACCTTTCTCATTAATTCATACAAATTTGTCCTGCCCCCCCCCTTTAAGTGTTCTGTGAGGTATGATTATAATTTTTAGTTCAGTTTCTTATTGTTTTCCATTTCTTATTAAGTAATGTGACACTGATGAATAATTTGTATGGTACATGTTAGATTTTTGAACACTTGATGATTTTGTAAAAGTCCCAGAAGTGGTAATTATTCTTTCAGGGGAGCAAGAATTCAGATTAATGCCAAGTTCTTGTTTTTGCTTGTTTTTAAACTTGTTTTGTTATTGTATTGTGTTTTGGGGAGTTGAAATAAAAGTATTTAGTGAACTTCAAAGAAAATAGTTTTATTTATATATTCCCTTTCACAGAGGAGCTGAGCATACTAGTTTTAAGTCAGACTTTTGAAAAAATACAGAAGAAATGCTAATAACTTTCCTGGGAATACTAATCTACCAATGAGAGTCTGCCTGTTTGGAGGTCCTCTGATTTGAAAACAACTCTTCAATGCAGAAGGCACATGTTTGGTTTTTTTAAAAACTTTGAATTTAGGAGGAAAAACCAAGATGGCGGCATAGGTAAACACCGGAAATTGCTGCCTCTCACAACCACTTAAAAATACAACTAAACGACAAAATGAACATCATCCAGAACAACAGGAAGGCTGGCTGAGTGGAAATTCTACAACTAGAAGGAAAGAGAAAAGCACACTGAGACTCAGAGAAGGTGTGGAAGTAAAGTGCAGAGGTATGGAGGCACACGTGTAAAGGACTGGCAACTGAGGACACGGCTGTCTTTTTCAATCGGGAGGGAGTCTCAAGTTCCCAACTGCTCTGAACTCCAGTTCCGTGCAAATCTCTGGGGACCCAGACTCATACAGGGAGAAACTGGACTGTCTGGCAGCGGTCGGAACTCGAGGGCAGCTTTCTCTCAGAGGTGCTTGCAGCGATTACTGGGACACTGAGAAGCGGGGCCTCTTACCGTAGGACTGAGGAGCAGCCATAGCTGCTTACTCCGCCCTGTTGATCCCCTGAGACCCTGCCCCACCCAAGCTGTGCGCAGAGGCTTTTGCATATGAAAGGCCTGGCCCTTTGCAACCTGAAAATTACCTAACAGACTGCAGCTGGGTCAGAGAGACCAAGAACTTCCAAAAGAAGGCCCAAGGCCCTACAGCAGCTTGCATTGCTTCACAGCTGGGCCTCAGCTGGGCACCTCCAAACCCCAAACAAAGAAGAGGAATCTGCAGATCTCTCCCTGGGCCTCAGCTGGGCACCTCCAAACCCCAAACAAAGAAGAGGAATCTGCAGATCTCTCCATAGCTCCTGCAGGGTAGCCTCAGGAAGAGGCTAAATTAGCACCTCCTTAGAGATCCAAGAGCCAGTGTACCAGTGGTCAGAGTGGGACCATCCAGATTACAACTCCTCAGATCCATAAGGAACACACTCAGGGGGCAGACTCAGTGAGCACCAAAGCCCCACTGAAGCAAGTCTTGCCCCAGAAGGGTGTCTCCAGCACAGAAGTTCTGCCAGTGCAGACACAGCTGATTCTCACAGCCAATCGGCCTGGAGGTCAATTCCTCCCAGTGATACCTACAACAATCAAGGCTTAACTACAACAAGACTGTGCACAAAGCCCACAAAGGGGTGCACCAAGAGTGTCCACCTCAGGTAATTGGGGAGGCTGAGCCACTGGGCCCTATAGGACACCTAGCACAGAAAGCCACTCTATCAACACAGGGAAGCAGCCAAAATGCAGAGACAAAGAAACAGGTCACAAATGACAGAAATGGAGGAAAGCAAACTACTGCATATAGAGTTCAAAACCACACTTATAAGGTTTTTCAAGAATACTCTAGAAACCGCCGATAAAATTAGTGAGACCCTCAGTAAATCTAGTGAGACCCTCGAGGTTATGAAAAAAGACCAACTAGAAATTAAGCATACACTGACTGAAATAAACAATATTATGCAGAGATCCAACAGCAGACTAGAGGATCGCAAGAATCAAGTCAAAGATTTAAAATACAAAGAAGCAAAAAACACCAACCAGAAAAACAAAAAGAAAAAAAATCCAAAAATATGAAGATAGTGTAAGGAGCCTCTGGGACAGCTTCAAGCGTACCAACGTCAGAATTATAGGGGTGCCAGAAGATGAGAGAGAGCAGGATATTGAAAACCTATTTGAAGAAATAATGACAGAAAACTTCCCCCACCTGGTGAAAGAAATAGACTTACAAGTCCAGGAAGCGCAGAGAACCCCAAACAAAAGGAATCCAAAGAGGACCACACCAACACACATCATAATTAAAATGCCAAGAGCAAAAGACAAAGAGAGAATCTTAAAAGCAGCAAGAGAAAGAAACTCAGTTACCTACAAAGGAATACCCATACGACTGTCAGCTGATTTCTCAACAGAAACTTTGCAGGCCAGAAGGGAGTGGCAAGAACTATTCAAAGTGATGAATGCCAAGAACCTACAACCAAGATTACTTTATCCAGCAAAGCTATCATTCAGAATAGAAGGTCAGATAAAGAGCTTCACAGATAAGAAAAAGCTAAAGGAGTTCATCACCACCAAACCAGTATTATATGAAATGCTGAAAGGTATCCTTTAAGAAGAGGAAGAAGAAGAAAAAGGTAAAGATACAAATTATGAACACAAATACACATCTATCAATAAGTGAATCTAAAAATCAAGCAAATGAATAATCTGATGAACAGAAGAAACTGGTGAATATAATAGAATCAGGGACATAGAAAGGGAGTGGACTGACTGTTCTTGGGGGGAAAAGGGGTGTGGGGGGTGTGGGAAGAGACTGGACAAAAATCGTACACCTATGGATGAAGACATTGGGCGGGGTGGGGGTTAAGGGCAGAGGGTGGGGTGGGAACCAGGTGGAGGGAAGCTATGGGGGGAAAAAAGAGGAACAACTGTAGTAATCTAAACAATAAAGATTTAATTAAAATAAAAAACTTTGAATTTAGAAGATTTGGGGAGCTAATGCTAGGAGATAGGCAGAACCTATGAAGAAACCAACTTCTGAAGGAATGAGGCACTGGGTTGAGTCTTTTGAGTTGACATCGTAGGCTGATCAGAATCTGTTTAACTGGAAACATTGTAAGTTTGGTTTCTGTACCTGAGGTGACTTGCCATGAGTACCGAGGACCTGAGTGCCTATTCTGCAACCCAGGCTGCTGACCTTAGAGGGGAATTTAGATTTGGGCTAGTAAAGAAAGGACAGTCAAGGAGGCTGAACTTCTTTTATAACGGAAATAATTTGGTTAATCTTTGAGAAGGATCTGAGATCACAATAGTACTCTTAAAATTATACTTTGTGATTTTAAAAGGATTTATATGAGGACAGTGTCTTCTTTTAGAGGTTGAACAAGGTTATTTATTTCTCTTTTCAGAACTCAACAGTAACAATTGAAGAATTCCATTGCAAGCTCCAAGAAGCTACAAACTTTCCTCTTCGTCCTTTTGTGATTCCATTCCTCAAGGTAATTTTTATGAGATAATTACTGAATGTAATTATTTATCTTAACATTTCCTCGAGATCTGCTACTGATCCCTGTTCTGTGATCTAAATTTGGGCAGCTTGCACATTTTCATATCTTTATTGTGGGCTGCTAGAAAAATGTGAGTGCAGTCTGCAGGTGAGTCTTACACTTGATGAGAATTACAAAAGCCTTGAGTTGTGGTCTGTATGCAGATTCTGCTAATAACACACAGGAGCTCCTGTGAATGGACCAGAGGTATAAAGGTGGTATGGAGGCTGGGGTCTTAGCAGAAGTAACTAGACACTAAATCTTTGGGTTATGGCCAGAGTGTGAGGAGGCTATCAGGCAAAAGAGAGGCCCTTGCAGCTCAGACTCTTAACCCTAAGGCAGTAATTTTCATTTCATGACACACATGAACTAATTACTAAAATTCTGCAGCACCCCACAAATATAATTTTTGATGATCTAACCAAGAAAATAGGTATAATTTTGGTTCATTCACAACAGACAGCTATTGTTATATTGGCTGCCGGGGTCCAGCCCCGGGTGTCCAGGGGTTCCCAAAGGTGTGGACGGAGTCAACGAGGGAGCGTCATAAGGTCAAGCCTAATTATGCTTAAGAGGACTATGCCCTCTAAGCTGGGACTTGTTTGTGACTTTGCTAACAGGTCAGTCCGAGGTTTAACCCTATAGCGGCTCCCCACAATTGGCTATTGTCATTTTTTTATTTGACAATCTAAGGGACAGAGATCAGTGCCCCTGACTAAATAGTCAGGTGTACTGCATGTTTGAAAAATTCCTGCAGCACACTGGTTGAAAATCGCTGCCCTAAGGACAGGAGAGCATGTGGGAAAGCATTGTATCCCCAGTTTTGTATACCTCAATTCCTCTGGAATTACTGTTCCATGAAACATAGCTTTTGAGATTTATATGTAATACTAGAGGCCCAGTGCACAAAAATTTGTGCACTTGGGGAGAGGGGGGTCCCTCAGCCCGGCCTGTGCCCTCTCTCAGTCTGGGACCCCCTCGGGAGATAACGACCTGCTGGCTTAGGCCTGCTCCCAGGTGGCAGAGGGCAGGCCTAATCCCTAGGTGCAGCCCCTGGTCGGGCTCAGAGCAGGGCCGTTTGGGGAATTGGGGCGCCGCCCCCTGTCATGCACAGAGCAGGGTGGATTGGGAGGTTGCGATGCCACCCTCAGTCACGCGCAGGGTAGGGCCGATTGGGGGGTTGGGGCACCGCCCCGTCACACTCAAGGCAGGGTCGATGGGGAGGTTGCGGCGCCACCCCCTGTCACGCACAGAGCAGGGCCAATCAGGGGGTTGGGGAGCTCCCCCCCCCCCCTCACACACAGAGCAGGGCGGATCAGGGGGTTGTGGCACCGCCCTCTATCACCCACAGAGCAGGGCCCGTGGGGTGAAGGGGTTGGGGCGCCACACCCTGTCACACACAGAGCCGCTGGGTGATCAGGAGGTTGGGGAGCTCCCCCCTATCAGGAACAGAGCAGGGCCGATCAGGGGGTTGGGGCGCCTTCCCCTGTCAGGAACAGAGCAGGGCCAATAGGGAGGTTGTGGCCCCGCCCCCTGTCACACACAGAGCCGCAGGGCAATCAGGGGGTTTGGGTGCTGCCTCCTGTCATGCTGATCCCGGTGCCAGGAGACCTCGCGGCTCCGCTGATCCCGGTGCTGGGAGGCATATTACCCTTTTGCTATATAGAATAGAGGCCTGGTTCATGGGTGGGGCCTGGCTGGTTTGCCCTGAAGGGTGTCCTGGATCAGGGTGGGCGTCCCCACTGGGGTGCCTGGCCAGTCTGGGTGAGGGGCTGAGGGCTGTTTTCAGGCTTCGACTGAAGCTCCCAACTGCTCCTTTTTTTCTTTTTTTTTTTTTTATTCTGAGCCAGCTTTAGCTCTGAGGCTGCAGCTCTTAGGCCTCCGCTCCTGAAAGCAGGTATCTGGTTTGTTTAGGTTCTACAATCGAAACTCTGTATCAACTCCAGGTCTGAGATCCCGGCTAGCTGAAAGCTAGTTTCTGGGGTTTTGTTTAGCTTCTATTTTTGTGACTATGTTTCAAACTGCCAGCTCAGAGGCCGGCAAGGCAGGTGGGGAACGTTGCAGTCCTCCATCACTGAAGCAAGCAAGTCTCATGTTAGTTTCAAGCTGCCTGGCTGCCAGCCGCCATCTTGGCTGGCAGTTAATTTGCATATCGCCCTGATTAGCCAATGGGAAGGGTAGTGGTCGTATGCCAATTACCATGTTTCTCTTTTATTAGATAGGATACCCTTTTTAAAAAATCTTTATTTTGAAATAATTTCATGCTCACAGAAAAGTTACAAAATGGTACAAGAAAATTTTTTCTGTACCCTTCACTCAGACTCCCCAGATGTTAATATTTTATAATTTGGATTATTATTCTCTTTGTCTTTAGATTTATTTTTTTCCTCAGAAATGTTTGAGAATGAGCTACAGACATGATACATTGAATTGCTTTAGTATAATTATCAAATTAAGAAATTAACATTGATAAAACACTATTACTATAGACCTTATCATGTTTCATCAAATATTCCACTAATAATATTTACAGCAAAAGAAAACCTTTTTTTTTTAGTTTTTGGATCACATCTTGCATTTATTTGTCATGTCTTTCTTCTTTCTTGTTAATTCTCACCTGAGGACATATTTTCCATTGATTTTTTTAGAGAGAGAGGAAGGGGGTAGAGAGAAACATCAACATGAGAGAGACACATCGATCTGTTGCCTCCTGCATGCACCCCTACCGGGGCTGGGGATCGAACCTGCAACCCACGTATGTGCCCTTGACAGGGACTCAAACCCAAGACCCTTCAGTCTACTTAATCTAGAATAACTTCTCAGTCTTTTATGATCTTGACATTGTTAAAGAGTACGAGATGGCTAATTTATAGATATACCTCAGTGTGGATCTTTCTGACACTTCCTCATGATGAGAATCATATTATGCATTTAGGCAGTAAATAGCAGCTAAGATATAACTTCTGTCAGGAGACCTGGGTGTTAATTGGTCTCATAATTGGTGATGTTGACTTTGGTCACTTGGTAAAGACTATGTCATGCTTTCCCACTGTAAAGTTATTATTTCTTCCTATTAAATAATAATTTTTAAAAACAGATACCGCATCATTATGACTCACAGAGAAAAAATGAATCCATGTCAAAGATTTTATTTAATTCATTATTAGTGAATCAGTAAGGTGTTAGAACCAGTTCAAGGGAGAACCCAAAGAATAGATACATTTAAAATCAGTATTATTGTATGAATGGGCAAACAGAGGTATAATTGACTTCGTCTACAGTGGGCAAGAAAAGTTAATTGAATCTCTACTGGACATAATTTTATGCAAGTCCATAGACAATAATTATTTTCCATTGCTATCAGTTCTCTGTAATTTGCAGAGTTATGGATAGCTTAAAGGCAGTGAAAGACTATAGTCAGATATCAGTGTGCTCTAGATCAAGCATAGTTTAAATACCTGTAACCCAAATCTAGCCCACCACATGGTTTTATACAGCCTTAAAGAGACATTGTGTGCATGTATGCATAATCCATGGACACAGACAATAAGGTGGTGGGGGTGGGGGTGGGGGTAGGGGCGGGCTGGAGGGGGCCAATAGCGGATAAAGGGGGACATATGTAATACTTTCAACAATAAATATTAAAATAAATTATTAATAATTTTAAAAGAATTGGTTTTACAAATGAACATTTGTAATTGATTGGTAATAGGGAACACTATCTTTGAATCCCAATTAAGTTGTTTTCCTTAATCCACTCCCTTTCCAAATTCCATTCTTTTCATTAGCCTGATATTACCAAAAAAACTGTACTCGGTTGTTTTTATATTTTGACTTATATTTTGACTTTTGTCAAGATAATATTTGGAAACTTGTTTTCCTATCTTGTATATGCATATCCACCTAATATCCTCAATTATGCCCCTTAACTCACAAAGCCTAAATATCTGGCTAGTAAATATGTTCCTCTTATCTTCTTTTGCTTTACCTTCATTTCATACAAAAATGTAATGACATCAAGAAGGTGGGTCATCTGTCCTGGCTGGTGTGGTTCAATTGGTTGGAGCATCGACCCATACACCAAAAAGGTGGCCGGTTCGATTCCCAGTCAGGGCACATACTCTGATCGGGACACACGTGAGAGGCAACAGCTTTTAAAAAAAGAAGATGGCTCATCCTACTAAAGTACTGATACCAGTTTTTTTAAACCTTGTAATGGGAGCCTAGGAGACATGGAGGAAAATGCAGGAGTCTCTGGCGAGCAGCTTGTGTTCTGACAGCATTAAACACTCAGCCCCTCGTAGCAGTCTGTGGTGCCTTGTTCAGCCCTTAAACAGCTGTGCTAGTTCTGTCTTGCTGTTTTCTGTATGTCAGAGCCAGTAGACAATTATTTCCCCCAAGACGCTGGAATCATGAAGGATTTGTGCAATTTGTGTTATTAGGGAAGAATTAGCTTTCTTTCTTTTCAATTCATCAAAGGGAAAAAAATTCATCAAAGGGTACATACATGTCACAGATGTAAAGATCTGGCATGGTATTTTTTCATTAAGTTTTTACAGTTGCTACAAGATTGAGGTTATAGAATAGACTTTTAAACTGCCTTATATCATCAAATTCCCTATTCTTAACTGTGTTATTTTGGAAAACAGCATGAGGTAGGTTGTTATGGAAGCTTTTTGGCTAGCATTTGGGTTTTTGTCAATTTATTTATGCTTTAAACAGTCACAGATTATGGTGTCTGCTAAATTAACCCTTGGTAAAGGGATGATTAAAACTCTCTTTTCAGCCCTAACCAGTTTGGCTCAGTGGCTAGAGCGTAGGCCTGCGGGCTGAAGGGTCCCAGGTTCGATTCCGGTCAAGGGCATGTACCTTGGTTGCGGGCACATCCCCAGTGGGGGGTGTGCAGGAGGCAGCTGATCGATGTTTCTCTCTCATCGATGTTCCAAACTCTCTATCCCTCTCCCTTCCTCTCTGTAAAAAATCAATAAAATATATTTTAAAAAAATTAAAAAAAAAACCTCTCTTCACTTGTTCATCTTTTTCCTCTGGAATAAAGACTTATGTTATAGGTGTGATCTGAAATTTTTTAAAAAGATTTTTTATTGATTTTTAGAGAGAGAGAGAGAATGAGAAACATTAATGTGTATGCCCCCTACCAGGGATCAAGCCCACAATCTGGGCAGGTGCCCTGACAAGGAGTTGAACCAGTAACCCTTTGGTGAAACAGGACAATGCCCAACCAACTGAGCCACACAAGCCAGGGCTGAATTGTTTTTAAATTTGGGGGGGGGGGGGGGAATGTAATTTTTTTTAAAGAAGGAATATGAGAAAAGTACCTTTATATGTGAAGTAATTAGAGTTCAATTGAAAGAGTATAGAGTTTTTTTATATGAATTATCCACACTAAAGGTTTCCTCAGTTTGAGGGGAAGGAAAAATAATCAATACATGATTATTGTCCTTTTACAAAATAAGGAAATGTGCCCAATGAGGGTACCACACTGAGAAATCAGTTCTGCCCCTAGGTAGGTTACCTGTGTATCCGCAGAGCCTAGTCTAAGGCTTAATTCCAGTTATTCCCAATACTCTTCAGACTGACAAGGAGAGAAAGGCTTTGGTCTTGTGTCATCTTGTTTGAGAGCCTTTTGAGGTGCTGGGCCCTATTGTGAGGGGCCCCACACAGGGAAAACTACCTTCCCATCCCTGCCTCTTTTTTTCAAGGCCAACCTGCCCCTGCTGCAGCGAGAACTGCTGCACTGCGCTCGGGCTGCCAAGCAGACCCCATCCCAGTACCTGGCTCAGCACGAACACCTTTTGCTCAACACAAGTATTGCTTCACCTGCTGACTCTTCTGAGCTGCTCATGGAAGTGCATGGAAATGGAAAGAGGCCCAGTCCAGAAAGGTGAGCAGAGAAGAGCTTGTTCATCCTTCCTTTTTCTGGAACCACTGAGCTTTTTCTTTGCTCGTGAAAGAAAATTTTATTACTGTGGTTATATATAGGTGTGGACTCAGAATGCTTCTCAAATCTATAGGTGTAACTTCCAGACATGAGTATTTTTTTGAAATGCTTCAGATGACTCTCTATGCCTCTGGTGAGAAACTCTGCTCTAGAGTAGAGTGTGTCCATTGTTCCAGAACCATAGAAACAAGCTGCCTAAGATATTTTTTTCTGATATGTGAGGTTTTGTAAAAGTGTAACAATTACTAACACACGTTAATGAATCACCATTATTTTGAAGGCTGACGTTATTTTAATTAATTCTGGATATTTCAGTATGAATGTCTACCACAATATTATTGTAATTGAAGCTAAATTACTAAAAGCCCAACCAATTCACAAGTGTATTATTTATTCAGCCTTTTTCCTTCAATCTGGCGAACTATATTCAATAACTGACCTCCACAGTAGCAAATTTCTAATCATTGTAGAACCCATAGTCCTCCATATTCTTATCATATAAGAAAATGCCATTGTCTCCTTAGTCTCTCATTTGCTTCATGAGGTTTAGATATTTCTGCCTTATTGTGGATGAATTTGACCTCTCTTTTTATACTGGACTAAATCAGTTTCCATTATCTCTCTGGCCTCTAAAGACAATTCAGTTCATGTCTTATGTCAAACCTGTCCTTATGTCTTCCTGTTTGTGAAAATGCCTAGCACATTGTAGATGCTCAAGGATATGTTTGCATGAACACTTGTTGATGGGCTCAGATAGCTACTTAATTTTTGCGCAGGAGGGAAGACAACGGTTTTGAAAGAGATGCAATTCCTCCTGAACCTCCTGCCAAGAGAGTGTGTACAATCAGCCCTGCTCCTCGGCACAGTCCTGCCCTCAGTGTGCCCCTTATGAATCCTGGGGGCCAGTTCCATCCTACACCTCCACCTCTTCAGCACTACACCTTAGAAGATATTGCAACTTCCCACCTATATCGTGAACCCAACAAGATGTTAGAACACCGAGAAGTTCGTGATAGACACCACAATCTTAGTAAGTGACGTAAACCTTTTTCTTTTGTTTTTTTGGTCTTTCATAATCTATTTAAAGGAGTTTTAAAATATATTCTCAATGGTAATTTTTTGGGGGGTGGTTTTATGTCATTTTGTGGCTCCCACACTCTGTTGTGAATCATTGCCTTCATAGCATGCTCACATTTGTATGAATGTGTGTGTTTACTTGATAGAATTCTATTTACTGTATTCTTTACTCTATCCTCAAATTTAATCTCTAATTTCTAATAGGTCTAAATGGAGGCTATCAAGATGAGTTGGTAGATCACCGTTTGACAGAAAGGGAATGGGCTGATGAATGGAAACATCTTGATCATGTAAGAATCTTATGTATAATTTTTTAAAATTTTCAGATAAGTGGGGTGTTTGTTTTTTTTAATTTATTGTTGACAGTATTACAGATGTCCCCCAATTTCCTGCTGTTTGCCCCCTTCCACCCAGCTCCTACCCCACCCCAGGCCTTCACCACACTATCGTCTATGTCCATGGGCTCTGCATATATGTTCTTTTTAAATATGTTTTTATTGATTTCAGAGAGAAGAAGGGAGAGGGAGAGAGATAGAAACATCAATGATGAGAGTCATTGATCAGCTGCCTCCTGCACGCCTCCTACTGAGAATCGAGCCCACAACCCAGGCATGTGCCCTGACCGGGAAGGGAATACAACTGTGACCCCTTGGTTCATGGGTCAACGCTCAACCAGTGAGCCACACAGCTGGGCTGCATATATGTTCTTTGGTCAATCTCTTCCTGTCCCCTCTATTCCCCCCCCCGCCCCGCCCCCATGCCTCTGGACCTAACTTGTTCGTACTTCTAATTCTTAATATCACCAATAGTAATAGAGTATGTATGTTTCAAGACACTTAATGAGAGCCACAGTGTCTTTGCAATAAAAGCTGATTTTTCTACTGCTCCCCCAGCTAAAGAGCTAAGAGTAACTCCCAAATCTTTGTGATCACTTCAAGTCTTAACCAAGTAAAGTCAGGTAATAGAGGTTTGTGAGTTCAGATCCCAGCTTTGACACTTCCTATCTTTGTTGTTTCACCATTTTTAGCCTTAATTTTTATAACTTAAAAAAAAAAATTCCATTCCCCCTTTTTTTTAACTTGGCCATAAAAATAATGAAATCTTACCATTTGCAACAACACAGATGGACCTAGAAGGTATTATGCTAAGTGAAATAAGTCAGTCAGAGAAAGATAATACCATATGATTTCACTCATGTGGAATCTAAAAAAAACAAACAAAAAACAAATGCACAAACAATACCTAACAGGAACAGACCATAGATACAAAGAACAAACTGAGGTTGCCAGAGAGGGAGGGGTAGGAGTAGGGGATGGGTGAAAAATGTGAAGGGGATTAAGAGGTACAAACTTCCAATTATAAAATAAATGTCATGTGGATGTAATGTACACCATAGGGAATATAGTCAATAATATTATAACCATGTACAGTGTCAGATGGTTACTGCACTTATCATGGTGATCCCTTTGTAAGGTATATAAATATCGAGTCATTATGTTGTATCCCTGAAACTAATATAATATTGTGTATTAACTATAATTTTTAAAAATCTATTTTTTTTTTAATTAAAACTGTGGTATTTAAATTTACAGGAGGGTTGTAATAATATGTAAGGTGCTTATCACAGGGCCTGGTATATAGGAAGTGTTAACCCTTTGCGGTCGTTTGTCTACTCTCAGCCACCAAAGCTTTTTTACCGTTCCGGTCGTATGTCTGCTCTCAGCCACCACAGCAAGGAACCGTACGAATCTTAACTCTATTCATTTCGTGTATCAGTTCATAATTTCTCTGAAAGCTCTTAAGTGTCTAAGCGACCTTGTCACGAACCAAAACATTGCCCCGACAAATCGGAGATATCGAAACTCAATATAAACAAACGCGGTCGTTCCACACTCGCCATGCAAAACACCGTGGCGAGTCAGTCGCCTTTTGAGAGTGAAGAAATCGACAAGCTTTGGAGATACCTCACAGAATTTCAAATAAAGCTTTACAAATTACGTTTAACTGTAATTAGGCATTCTCGCTTGTTAAGATATTTCAAAATAATACTCCAAAATGGCAAAAAGAAAGTTACCGAAAGAAGTGTACTGCGAATCTGAAAGTAACGATGAAGAGTTTTATTTTGGCACCTTGAATACTGACTCTGACGTAGAAAGTGATAACGTTCGTTGTGATTCTACTAGTAGTGACGTAGTTCCAAAAAAGAATTAATAAATCTTGTTTATCCTTCATAATCTTGCATGTTATATATCACTACTCTTTCAATGGAAATTAATTCCGACCAGTACGACACCCATGTCCGAATTTAATACGACTGCAAAGGGTTAATAGATGGAGCTTCTCCAAAAACAAATGAGAATCAGAATGCAAGCCCAAGTTCTCTGTCTCGTTGTAAGAGAGGGTTTCCCTTCTCACTGAAAAGGGAAGAGAAGATATAGTACTGCATTAAAGTATATATACAGTAGCTCTTTGCATCTTGAGTGATAAAAATTGTCTCTGAACATTATTTCTTTGATAACATTCTTAATAAATCGCCAGCTTCATCAGATACCTTGGTGTGTTTACGCAAATATATAAGGTTTCACCGTAGTCTTTTTGTTTTTAAGTATTGTTTTTATTCTCATTAATTTATTTTTATTTTTTTTATTTTTTTTTTATTAAATCTTTATTGTTCAGATTATTACATTTGTTCCTCTTTTTTTCCCCCCATAACTCCCCTCCTTCCAGTTCTCACCCCTCCCTCCGCCCTCACTCCCCACCCACTGTCCTCATCCATAGGTGCACGATTTTTGTCCAGTCTCTTCCCGCATCTCCCACACCCCTTTTCCCCCCAAGAATAGTCAGTCCATTCCCTTTCTATGTCCCTGATTCTATTATAATCACCAGTTCATTCTGTTCATCAGATTATTTATTCACTTGATTCTTAGATTCACTTGTTGATAGATGTGTATTTGTTGTTCAGGGTTTGTATCTTTACCATTTTCTTCTTCTTCCTCTTCTTAAAGGATACCTTTCAGCATTTCATATAATCCTGGTTTGGTGGTGATGAACTCCTGTAGCTTTTCCTTATCTGTGAAGCTCTTTATCTGACCTTCAATTCTGAATGATAGCTTTGCTGGATAAAGTAATCTTGGTTGTAGGTTCTTGGCATTCATCACTTTGAATAGTTCTTGCCACTCCCTTCTGGCCTGCAAAGTTTCTGTTGAGAAATCAGCTGACAGTCGTATGGGTATTCCCTTGTAGGTAACTGAGTTTCTTTCTCTTGCTGCTTTTAAGATTCTCTCTTTGTCTTTTGCTCTTGGCATTTTAATTATGATGTGTGTTGGTGTGGTCCTCTTTGGATTCCTTTTGTTTGGGGTTCTCTGCGCTTCCTGGACTTGTAAGTCTATTTCTTTCACCAGGTGGGGGAAGTTTTCTGTCATTATTTCTTCAAATAGGTTTTCAATATCTTGCTCTCTCTCATCTTCTGGCACCCCTATAATTCTGATGTTGGTACGCTTGAAGCTGTCCCAGAGGCTCCTTACACTATCTTCGTATTTTCGGATTCTTTTTTCATTTTGCTTTTCCGGTTGGGTGTTTTTTGCTTCTTCGCATTTCAAATCTTTGACTTGATTCTTGCGCTCCTCTGGTCTGCTGTTGGGAGTCTGTATAGTATTCTTTATTTCAATCAGTGTATGCTTAATTTCTAGTTGGTTCTTTATCATAACATCGAGGGTCTCATTAGATTTCTTGTAGATCTCATTAAGTTTATCGGCAGCTTCTAGACAGTTCTTGAGAGACCTTAAAAGTGTGGTTCTGAACTCTGTATCTTCCATTGACAATTTTGTCCTGTTTCTTTGTCTCCGCATTTTGTTATGCTTTCTTGGTGCACCCCCTGGTCTTTGTGCGCAGTCTTGTTGTAGTTAAGCCTTGATTGTTGTAGTTAATACTGGGGGGATTTGACCTCCAGGCCAACTGGCTGTGAGAGTCAGCTGTGTCTGCAGTGGGAAAACTTCTGTCCTCTGGGGAGGTGCTAATCTCGCCTTTGCCTGAGGCTATCCGGCAAATGGCTCTGTGCAGGGCTTGGGCAGGGCGGGTTGCACGGGATCAACAGAGCGGGTGGAGGGAGCAGTTATGGCTGCTCTCAGTCCCGTCCCCAGAGGCTCTGCCTCTCAGAGTCCCAGCAACCGCTGCAAACCTCCGAGAGAAAGCTGCCTCCGACTGATGCCAGACAGTCCCGCTTCTCCCGTTTGAGTCTGGGTTCCTAACAACTCGCCCAGAACTGGAGCTCAGAGCCTGAGCCTCCCTCCCGATTGGAAACGACAACCGCGCCCTCAGCCACCAGCCTGCTCCGCTGCGCCTCCTCTGAGTCTCAGGATGCTGTTCTCTTTCCTTCTAGTTGAAGAATTTCCCCTCAGCCAGCTTTCCTGTGGTTCTGGGTGATGTCCATTCCGTCTTTTAGTTGTATTTTTGAAGTGGTTGTGCGAGGCAGCATTCTCCAGTGTTTACCTATGCCGCCATCTTGGTTCTCAGTGCCTGTGTACTTAATTTTTTTCTATTTTTATTTTTTTATTGTTGACAGTATGACAGATGTCTCCTACTCCCCCCATTTACCCCCCTTCGCTCAGCCCCTACCCACCCACCCACCCCAGATCTTCACCAGCATATTGTCGTTTCCATGGTCACCATAGACTTTAAAAGGCTATATTATAATGAGAGTCTGGTTACTTCAACCTTAAAGAATCCAGTATTATTTTGAAATCCAAACAAAAAATAAATTAAGTTGTGTGTGTGTGTTTGTGTACATATTTATATACACATTATATTTTAAAAGAAGCAGTAATAAAGGCTTTAACATGTAAACTTGATATTGTGTCTATAAGACACTTAAACCTTCATTATTTATATAATTTGTTTACCTTGATTTGCAACATCAGTGTTTGAATGTCTTCAGCTCATCACTACCTGGCTTCTTCTCTGGTTCAGGCCCTGAACTGCATTATGGAAATGGTAGAAAAAACAAGGCGTTCCATGGCAGTTTTGCGGCGCTGTCAGGAATCTGATCGTGACGAACTCAACTACTGGAAAAGACGATACAACGAAAATACAGAGATGAGGAAAACGGGGAATGAACTGGTCTCCAGGCAGCACAGTCCTGGGAGTGCGGATCCTCTCAGCAGTGGTAAGATGGCAAGACCAGCTTTTTATGTTTCACTTTAAAGGAAGGTGGTGCTAGAATGTGGAGTTAAAAAGGCCCAGATGATTATGAAGAGTAAATGATAAAATAGTTCAAGGACTCGGTATTTAACATGTTCAAGAAATATTGTCTTCCTCATGGAAAATGAGAATATTTGTGATCTTGTTCTGTTTTGTTTTGTTTTTTTAAATATATTTATATTTTATTGATGTTTTACAGAGAGGAAGGGAGAGGGATAGAGAGTTAGGAACATCGATGAGAGAGAAACATCAACCAGCTGCCTCCTGCACACCTCCTACTGGGGATGTGCCTGCAACCAAGGTACATGCCCTTGGCCGGAATCGAACCTGGGACCCTTCAGTCCACAGGCTGATGCTCTATCCACTGAGCCAAACCGGTTAGGGCTCAAATCAATTTTTTAAAAAATGAGAGAGTCCACTAGCACTAACATTAAAAAACAACAATCAAATGACCTTGATTAGTTTTCATAGTTTTGAAAGCAATAGAACCATTTCTCATAAAATATTATATTTTGCAACCAGAGTAAACATACATGATAAGTCACCCTCCACCCCTACGTCTTTCCCAGCAACCCCCGGGATGCCTCTTTATGGTACATTTGACATGCACTGTTCAGACTGTTTTCTTCACTGCTTGGGGTTTTTTTTGTTTGTTTATGAGTGTTTAAAGAAATTTACAGGAAACCTCCTTAAATCACATGTAAGGATTCAGACTTGCCAAGAAAGAAAAGCTATATTCTCTGACATACCTACAGAGAGCACTTGCCAGTGCCCTGTGCATGATGGAGACAGTTCAGATCAATTTGATACGAAAACACACACATGTAACACATAAATATCTATAGTTATTTATATTTTATGAAGTACCTTAGAAATACATATATGTTCAGAGGGGGAAATAAGGACACATTGATAAGTAAAAAGAAAGTGGAGATCACTTTTTTTAAAAATTTTGTTTTATTGCTTAAAGTATTACAAAGAGTATTATATATGTCTCCTTTTTTTTCTCCCCTTGACCTTCCCCTGGCCTCCCATACCCCACAGTGTCTTGTGTCCATTGAGTGGAGATCACTTTTAATCTCACTACTTGAAATACTGTTAATATCTAAGGCATGCAGGTGTGTGTTTTAAAGTAAAAATTAAGCCCTAGCTAGGTTTGCTCAGTGGATAGAGCGTTAGCCTTCGGACTGAAGGGTCCCGGGTTTGATTCTGGTCAAGGGCACATACCTCGGTTGCAGGCTCGATCCCCAGACCTGGTCGGGGTGTGCTGGAGGCAAGCAATCAATGTGTCTCTTTCACATTGGTGTTTCTGTCTGTCCTTCTCCCTTCCACTCTCTCTAAAAATCAATGGAAAAAATATCCTCGAGTGAGGATTTAAAAGTAAAAATTAAGTGTGCTGTTTTATAATCAGATTTTATCTCTTATCAGAATATTTTTGCACTACATGAACATATATTTTTGAGTCTTAAGTGGTAAATGAAAGATCTGAAAAGTTTTTCATAAAAAGAAAACATGCCAATCATAGGTAATTTCTGACCCCATGCTACTTATCTCTCTCCTGTAGATCCTCAGCGGGAATTCAACAGTAGGCCAGCAACAGGATATGTACCTGTGGAATTTTGGAAAAAAACCGGTATGTGCCTATCTGCTTAGAGGTTGCATGTACTCACTGACTTGTGCCAGTGCGCAGCACATATCTGAGGGAGAAGTGATTGTCTCATAACAACCTCCTCACAGAACTCTAGGCTCCTGCCTCTTCTCCTCCAACTTTCCCACACATCTGGATGCCCCTCATGTTACTTTGCAGGTCAAGAATTTGGAATGCCTCCCAGCAGCCTATGCAGGTCCCTTTCACATGCTTCTGGGTCACACTCAGACATTAAGTAACCAACTCTTTCTTCCCTGTTCATTATAGTCTCTGTTTCTGGCCATGAAACTTAATTTGTTTCTGCCTATTCTGTTCACTAGAATCTACACACACTGTGTTCACACACTACCACATTTCATTCTGCTCTTGAAAAAACTGTCTGTTTTTCCTTTCACCATTACTGTGAAAGGAAGAATAAAGGTGGGACTGCCTATTGTGGTAAGAGAGGGGTTTAAATTAACCTTTCATTCTTTTTTTTTTTTTTTAACCTTTCATTCTTAATATTTACCTCATCCAAATTCTAGCTGCCTTTTCTTCTTGCCTCCCATTCCTAGTAACATTTATTTTTAGTCCAATATTGTTTTTTATTTTCTTCCTAAAATAAAATTTATTTCTACAAAAAGTTAATACCTGTCATTCAGAAAGACTCTCAAGAGCATCAAGAACATAATAAACAAGTGGACAAAATATATGAACCGACAAATTATGAGAGATGTAAATACAGTGGGGCCTTGACTTACAAGTTTAATTCGTTCCGTGACGGAGCTCGTAACTCAAATTACTCATATGTCAAATCAATTTTCACCATTACAATGAATTGAATGCTGGGCTGATGTTGTGGCGTTCACTGTGACGTTCGCCGCGCCAACTAGTGGTGGGGTATCTGAAGCTGGCTCGTAACCCGAATTTTAGCTCGCAACTCAAAGCAAAAAATCGGCCGAGAGACGAAAAACTCGTTAGTCGGGACACTCGTAAGTCAAGGCCCCACTGTAAACCTATTGCAAAATGTTTATTTTTACTGGCAATCCGAAAAATTACCATGCACAGGATCTCCGTGGTGACTGGTGATTTTCTACTTGGGAGGTACCTTTGGTTAATTATGGTTAAGAACCAGACTATGGCGTGAGCCAGCTAAATTTGAGTCCTTGTTCTGGTCTAGTGCCACCTGTTATCTTGAATTATTACCTTGAGCAAGGTAGTTATTCAAACTGTGATTCTTATTGATTTTTAAACTTAGAGGATAAATGTTCTTCAGGGCATTATTATGTTGGCTCAATAAGAGAGACTTAACACCTACCTGGTAACTAATAGGATATGAAAGGTAGCTGTGGTGAGCCACAATGAACCGTGTGGATATCAAGAGTAAAGGAGCCCTAGCTGGTTTGGCTCAGTGGGTAGGACGTTGGCCTGTGAACTGAAGGGTCCCGGGTTCGATTCAGACAAGTGCACATGCTCGGGTTGTGGGCTTAATCCCGAGTAGGGGTCATGCAGGAGGCAGCTGATCAGTGATTCTCTCTCATCATTGATGTTTCTATTTCTCCCTCTCCCTTCCTCTCTGAAATCCATAAAAATACTTTTTTTTAAAAAAAAGTAAAGGAAGCATGGAGTTCAGTGCCAAGTTAACTCAGCATCATTCTTGCTTGGCCTTTGAGATGAAAACTTTCCTTTCTTAAGGCTGGAGCAATAAAATGCAAAGTTCTATGATGGTAGCCTAGAACACTCTGTTTAAACCTCCTTTAAGCATAAGCCACATGCAAGAGCCAAGCAACAAGGGAGTTTCCTTAGGCTTCTGTCGTCTTGTGATTTCAGGAGGGAGGTCATTTACATTGGGACTTAGGGCTGAGGCTCAAGTGCATAGTGTGTTATTTGGAGCAGCGGTCGCCAACCTTTCAGACCTCATAGACCACCAGTGGTCCGCGCACCACCGGTTGGCGACCATTGCTCCAAAGGTTTCCTTAAACCAGCGGTCACCAACCTTTCAGACCTCGCAGACCACCAGTTGGTGACCGCTGATTTGGAGTGTCCATCTTATGGAAACCATGCAGGGTGGTGATCATGATGGGAGAAAGTGATCAGGAGCCAAGTGGGGTAATGGTAACTGGACACGGCTTTGGAAGTCCAGGGTTCCCGTCAACCTGCCCATTTTTCTCTACCTGAGTCAATATTATATACCAGCTGCCTCCTATTCATTTATACCTGGATGCCCCAGAGGCACCGCAGCCTTCTCTTGCCTCCACCCCAGCATTTTGCTTATTTGTTTCGTTGCATACCACTACTGTTCTTCCCCTTTACCTTCTCCTCCAGACCCCTAGATGCTGCTGATCTTGTTCTGCCCTCTCCCCTACTCTGTGCTACTTGCTTCTGCCTAAAGTCAGAGACTGTTCTATCTCTTCTTCTAAATTGTTGTCCCAGTCTCAATTGGTTCTTCTGTCTTCATTTTTTTCTCCTTGCGTAGAACCCTTTAGAGTTCACATTTTCTTTAGAAAAAGGGCTAAATTCCTTAGCATGAGATGCAAGACTTTCTAAAAATTCATTTCCACCTCTCATCTCAACCAGGACACATACTCTTGTAAAGCTGACCACTTTCCCCTTGGATCTCTTGTCTCTCATACTAACACCTAAGCCACCTTGTACTTATCACAAACAGTTATGAGAATATAGACTAAGTCTTAGTCACCTCGCTGTCCCCAGTCCCTAGTACAGTGCCCACCTCCATCTGTATACTCAACAAATGGTTGCATGAATGGACAAGTGAGTGTAAGAATAAAAGTGAACACATACATCATATATTCATCCCTGTGTGTTTTTTAAAAAAGTCATCTAGTTTCAGTTCTGTCCCTTTTTAGAAATGATGTGGGGTGGGAGGGAAAAGATTTATCGGCCAGTTGATTTTACTGTCACTTTCTTCTAGAAGAAGCTGTGAATAAGGTGAAAATTCAGGCCATGTCAGAAGTTCAGAAAGCCGTTGCTGAGGCAGAGCAAAAAGCCTTTGAAGTGATTGCAACAGAGAGAGCTCGGATGGAGCAAACCATAGCGGACGTCAAACGGCAGGCTGCAGAGGATGCCTTCCTTGTCATAAATGAACAAGAAGAATCAACGGAGGTCAGAGTTCTATTAGTCCTGGGGGCTAGGGCTGGGGCTAGGGCTTGGGCAGCCTGGAGTGAACCAGCCCATTGCTATCTTCTCAAGTGCTAGGCAGCAAGATAGAACCGTCTGCTCTTGAACTAGATGATTATAATTAATTATCCAGTACCAGAAGGGTTTTATTTCTCAATTATACAGGTAGTTATTTATATTTTAGGAAGTACCCTAAAAAGTGGGGCAAAAGTAGATTTACCGTTGTTCATATGGAAAATAATACAATATTTAATAAATCATAATACAATAAACTGTTTCGCCCTGGCTGGTGTGGCTCAGTTGGCTGGGCTTTGTCCTGTGCACCGAAAGGTTGCCTGTTGGATTCCTGGTCAGGGCACACATCCCTAGGTTGCAGGTTCAATCCCCAATAGGGGATATGCAGAGGCAGCCAGTCGATGTTTTGCACTCACATTGATGATTCTTCCTCTACCTTCCTGTCTCTCTAAAAATGAATAAAAAGTGGTGTTTTTTTTTAAAGAATAAACTCTGTGCTTTGCATACTCACAGCTATAAACCTACTTTTGCCCCACCATGTATTATATTCTTACTATATTGGTTTTAATTTTGAAAACTCACCCTAAAACCAGAGTTTGTGGATTGCATGGTAATGATGACATTCCCCTTCACTGAGTGGGCTTAGGTACTGTGTGTAGCCACAAAGTTAAGTGTGTGTATTGTCTTTTTGATCCTCACAATGATTCTACGAGGTGGGTGTTATTGGATTCTGATTTCACAAGTGAGGAAACTGTGGATTAGGGACTTTGCCCACTGCTGAAGCCAGGGTACAGGAGTGAGGAAATGGAGGCCCCTGTAGCATCTGGGCTGCTTGTAAATAGGGTAGTTCTTTTATGGGTTGAAGTGACAGATGGGGCAGACCTGCCCAACTCTCCAAGACACATGGCCCAGGACTTGGTGATGCTTCTAAGAGAAATAAGACATTCTTGCCGAAACCAGTTTGGCTCAGTGGATAGAGCCTCGGCCTGCGGACTGGGGGGTCCCAGGTTCGATTCCGGTCAAGGGCATGTGCCTGGGTTGCGGGCATATCCCCAGTGGGAGATGTGCGGGAGGCAGCTGATCGATGGTTCTCTCTCATCGATGTTTCTAGCTCTCTGTCTCTCTCCCTTCCTCTCTGTAAAAAATCAATAAAATATATTTAAAAAAAAAAAAGAAATAAGACATTCTTTTACCACAGAGGATAAAAATAAACTCAATTTCTACAAATTGAGAAATTAGCTATCTTTGGGACATTCTCTTGAAGTTATTAAAAAAAAAAAAAAATCCTGGGTATTTCAGTTGATTTGTTTTCTTTATTTAAAAAAAAATTGTTAATCCTCACCCAAGGATATTTTTCCATTGGTTTTTAGAGAGCGGAAGGGAAAGGGAGAGACAGAGAGAAACATTGATGTGTCACATTCATTGGTTGTCTCCTGCACGCACCCCAACCAGGGCCAGGGAACCTGCATCCGAGGTGCATGCCCTTGACTGGAATCGAACCCAGGACCCTTCAGTCTGTGGGCCCACGTTCTATCTATCCACTGAGCCATCCACTGAGCCAAACTGGCTAGGGCTGGTTTGTTTGTTTTCTTAAACAACAGGAAGTTTATTTTCTCAATCTTTTTATTTTCTTAATCTTTCACTATAGCAGTGCCAAGCATGGTGATGTAAAGACGAAAATGTCTAAATGTCATGTGACCATCACAGGGGATGTGGAAAATTCCATACTGTAGCATTCGATAAAAGACACTGAGTTGTGAGAAAATAGTTTATTTGATTTACCCTGTAGACTGTGCAGTGATACCAGGTTTCAGAGGAATGAATGGTTATATTGGTAAGAATGTAATTTCTCCAAATTTTTACTTGCTGTCAGAAATGTATGCTGCATTATGTGATCAAAAGTCATTTTTTTAATTGATTTCAGAGATGAAGGGAGAGAGAGATAGAAACATTAATGATGAGAGAGAATCATTGCTCAACTGCCTCTTGCACACCCCACACTGGGGATCAAGCCCGCAACCCAGGCATGTGCCCTAACCGGGAATTGAACCATGGTCTCCTGATTCATAGGTCAGTATTCAACCACTGAGCCACACCAGCCGGGCCAGAGTCATATTTAAAGTTTAGACTCAAGAGAGGAAAAAGGAAATAGTTCCTTTAACTCTCCCCTTTTTTTTGTCCCCTTCTTTTTTCTTTATAATTGTTTCTGAGCAGTGATATCTTTTTCTTTTGTGTGTATTTAATTCTATATCTATAGCTATTCATATCAATATCTATATTTGTTCATATTTATCTACTTTCATATCTGTGTTTATATTTTTTCTGTCTTTCTCCAAAGAAGGAATGTAACATTTTGGCTTACAGCATGAGTTCTGGATCTGGACTGCATGGTTTCAATCCCAGCTCTCCATTTATAGGAGAGTGCTTTTAAGGAGCTGTAATTTTAAACATAGTACATATTTAAAGTCTAACAGTATATCCCTGGAGTTTGTTGTTCATCCCGTGACAGGGAGCTTAGTATAGCGGAGGGAGCCCAGGACTGGAGGTTAGGAACCCATCCCAGTTGCCCCTCACACTAGCAGTGTGCCCTTAAGGGGTCACTTTCCTTCCCTGTATAATGGGTGTGTAGCAGACCCTCTCCTGTTGGTCTCTTAGTTTCTAGGAAGATACCATTTGGTCATGGTTGTGTTAGCACTTCCAAACTGTACTGCACTAAATGCACTGTACAGATGAAAGGATTTTCTTATGTGGCTAACAATATACGTGTGTAAGCTGTGGCAGCACCTGCCTTTGCAGAATAGCTGACTCTAAGGGCAGACCCAGGCATCTCCCTGGAATGCCTCAGGAGGGGGATGAAGTGAGAGGTCCTCTCATCTCCACCACATGGCACCTTCTGACCTCAGCCTGGCTTCCCTGGCAAACAGAGTGGCCTAGCAGATGATTATAAGATGAGGAATTATTTCTCTTTTGGGCCAATGTTTGTGGTCATGTCAGGGAGGTTTGGGATGGGTCCCAGGAATTTTTGACAAGCCTCACGGAGCTCTGATACAGGTGGCCTCTGGGTCACACTTGGCATAAACTGATGGCCCATACTTGACAAAGGAAATTCTGGCATCCCACTTCTGCCTTTCCTGGCCAGTACTTCAAAAGGTTTATAGCCTTCTCCCATTAACTGTCTGACCCAGTGTGCTGCTCCAGTTTTGAGGAATGAGTATTTGAAGGGAGACTACAATAATAAACCATTTTTGTCTTACATCGTAGCCAAAGCCTCGTGATTAAGTCAGGAAATGTCACAGGGCAAGGGTACACGACAGTGACCTGTTCACCTGGCTGCGCTGACACTTACCACAATGTTCCTGCATGTATAGACCGATCCTGCCTCAGTGGGAAGCTGTTTTCCTTACCTTGTTTTATTATATTTCATAAATTATGAAATAAGCTATTTTAAATAGAATGGCAGCCAAGGCTTACGTTCCAGTGCGTCAGTACTCTGCCCCAGTTTGAGACATTCTTGCAGACTTGGGCAGAGGAGTAAAAGTCTCCCATCAGCTAGGGCTGCCCCGTTGGCCTGTTTCAACAGCAGCCCCACATAGACAACCACTGAGGTCCTCCCCACAAGTGGGAATGTTCTGCCAATGCATTGTTTGGAGTCAGCCCATCAGGCTCCAAAGTCTGACATTCTCTGGAATGCAGTTTGCTTGAGCCCTAAGAATTACTTCAGCTTCCTATTTTGGTCCTCTGGTATTTGTGGTGGCAAGTTTAGGCAGTCCTTAGAGTGTATTTCCTGAGAAGCCTGTTGTGTTAGACAGGAGTATACTGCCCTTTCTAATGTCCTTTGAAACTAAACTTCTACATTGAGTATAGTGCAGTCAGGAGGTTCGGATTCTAGACTTTGCAAGTAATTTTTTTTTTTTACTCACCTGAGGATATGTTTTTATTTATTTTTATTTATTTGTTTGTTTGCTTATTCCTCACCTGAGGACATGCTGAGAGAGAGAAAAACATTGATCGATTGCCTTCCATACGCATCCCAATCAGGGCTCAAACCCACAATCCAGTTACGTGCCCTGACCAAGAATCCAACTGGCAACCTTTTAGTGCACAGGATGACACTCTAACCCACTGAGCACTCTGACCAGGCTGTTTTTATTGATTTTAGCAAGAGAGGAAGGAAGACCCATACATGCCCTGACTGGGAATGGAACCCACAACATTTTGGTGTATGGAACAATGCTCCAACCAAATGAGCCACACCTGCCAGGGCCAAGTAAACATTTTATAACCTTAGGCAAGTCCCTGCCCACTGGTCCTCAGTGTCCTATCTGTACAACCCAAGAGGTGGGCCAAGTGGCCCTTTTCAACGCTTACTGCCCCATTGTCACTTGAGCAAGTGTCCTGATTTCATGGGGGATAGTGTCTTTCTTTCCTAGGAGTGGTCAGACCTTGTGACCTTGTGATTGGGCCTTGTGATTGGCTCTGCTATTCTGGAGAACTTGGAGAAAGGGGCTGCTCAAGTCCTTCCTGATACCTAAGAAATCATTGCCTCTCCCTGGTAGCTTCCTCTGGCCAGTGCCATAAGGCTTTTCTCTTGTAAGTGGACCTGGAGACTTTGGGTGCGGAAAAAACACTTGTGTCACTACTGGAGTCACCACTGGAATCCAGAGGAAAGAGAAGAGTACCAAGGAGCAGGTTTCAACTGCCTCTCTCATGGCTGCTCCTTGTAGCTCTCACCACGCCTCACTTGGCTCATATCCTCCATCATAGAATTAGTGCATTCTCAAATGTACAGTCCTCCCTCTCCTGTGGTCTCTGCTAGACCCTAGCAGTACCCATCCCCCCTCTAGGAAAGTGCAAAGTAGTAAGAAAACTTCCTGACCTAGACCCCAGGGGCCCTGAGCTCCGAGATACTGCAGGGGCTCCCATAAATAAACCAGAAGTTTCCTCACAACCCCCAGCTCACCTATGACAAGGCACATCTCTGAAAGGAGAGTGGATACAGAGGAAGTAATATAACCATCTAAGATAAGGTGTTGTTAGTAAAAATACGGTTATTCCTCTGTTGGGAAGACCGAGAGAGGAAACCACGTGTGGTCTCAGAATAGAGAGCTACGGTGGGGGACGTGGGGACAGAGTTAGGTTTGGTTGCTGAGGGATAAATCGTGAGTCAGTGCCTTCAACAAGATGTGGGGCTTCCGCCTGCCCTGCAATGATGCGGTTTGTGTGTTCACATCCCCCTCATCTCGCTGTCCCCTAAGTCGGGGTAAGTTCTCTTCCTATGTTACTCAGGAAACTCAGAAAGCAGAGACAGTAGAATCAGGACAAGGACAGGTATGGGTAGGTCCAAGCCCCCTCTTCTACAGGGCAGGTGATGAGTGATGACAAGCCTGCCCCACAATATCCAAGCAACTAACCAATGCCTGTGCCTTGCAGAACTGCTGGAACTGTGGCCGCAAAGCCAGCGAGACCTGCAGCGGCTGCAATATCGCACGATACTGCGGCTCTTTCTGCCAACATAAGGACTGGGAGCGGCACCACCGCCTCTGTGGCCAGAACCTGCACGGCCAGAGTCCCCACAGCCAGAGCCGGCCACTGCTTCCTGGAGGGAGGTCAGCCAGGTCTGCTGATTGCAGCGTGCCAAGCCCAGCACTGGACAAGACCTCAGCAACCACCTCGCGCTCCTCAACACCTGCCTCTGTGACAGCCATCGACAGCAACGGACTCTGAGCCCAGGCTCCTTCCCCCTGATGACCTCACAGCACAGGGCTGGACCAGTACAAGTAGCTGCTGGGTCATCAGCAAGAAGTGAAGTGGAGGCAGAAAGAGTCCAACCAAGCCCAGCAAACATTGCTTCACAGCCTCTCCAGACACCTGCCCCAGTTTCCCATCTGTGTCCTTGGGGGAAATAGTGTGCCGTCCTTTCTGCACACAGGCAGTTGGCTGGAGCTGCCTCTTCCATGGCTTTCTGGTTTGTTCCTCTCCCAGCTGGAGCTGGCGTGGCGGGCACCTTTTCAGTGTAGACCACCAGCTCCCCTCCCTGCCTCTTGAGGCAGCAGACTATGTGCCCGGCCAGGCTGGAGGCAGCTGGCCCCATGCACTGTCTCCTGCTCCACTGTCCTCCCGCAGCAGAGGCCTGGAGGCTGCGAGCAGGCTGGAGAGAGTCCTCCTGACAGGGAGTGGCCCCCCTCGTCCCCAGCAGCTTCATGAGCCCATTTCCACCCTCAGCAGATGCCACTGATTGGCCCAGGGGGACTTCGGGGAAGCAAAAAGCAGCACTCAGGACTCCCTTGACCCTGCTGTTCAGACTTGTTAAAATTCTCAGAAACCACAGGAAAGTCACCATTTTAGGAAAAGCACCCATAACAATAAAAAATAAATAAAACTTTCACCAAGCATCACAGATCATCTTGGACAAGGTTTTCTAACCTGCCTGGCTTCTTCAGTTTAGGACCCAGTTTTCTCCCTCTCTGATTTGATTTTGCTTGTGCAGAAAAGTTTCCAGCACTTGGATTGGTCTGAGGAAGAACGAGACTCAGGTGTAGATTAGTCTGTTCTGAGCATTTTGGCCAACTACTATCATCAAGTTATTGAATGGATCGTCTGTTGGAAACTCAGAACCTCTTGTCACCGCTTGGCTGTTTGCACAGTCATCTTGTTCTGTGTCTTGTCTCAGACCGCGTGTGTCCAGATCACAGTGTGAATCGGTCTCTATCTGGCACCTCTGAAGCCGCAGTTGCCCCGTAAAATGTGATATGGTGTGACTAGGACTCGCCTCACTAATCAGGGCCTGGTTACTTCTGAGCAGCCCTCATGGACCATAAAGAATTCTTCAGACCTCATGGTTTCATGTCATTATACATAACTGCATCAGCTTACTGTTGGGCACACAATCTCAGACTCCCTTCTCGTGTGTTTGATAGATACCCATTTTGAGCTAAGAAATTTTGTGAAATGTGAGAACCATTTTGAGAGAACCTGACCAGTTTTCCTTCCTGTCTTCAGGGAGGTTTCCAGCTATTGACTTGGCGCTCCCAATATGACATCACCTAACCCTGTTTTAAAGTGTTCAGAACTGCCACACACATTTTCCCTGACTTTTCTACTCTCCACCTCGCCTCCAGCACCTTCTCTCCCCACGGAATCAGTTGGGATGAGTTGGTCAGCTCTACTCCTGCTGGCACTTGAGAGCCCTGCTTTAGATAGCCACCTTTTGTGCACTGACAAGAGTGAAATAGAAGCTCTCATCCTATAAAGGAAAAGCAATCAGCATAGGTAGCATTGTCCTTGCTTTAAGAATTTCTAGTCCCTAATTGACCTTACCGAAGGATGTTCTGTCTTATAAAGAAACGTAATACAAGGCACCTTTAAAATACCTGTATTTCCATTGCACAAAGTAAAGTATACACAGAGAAGGAATAACAGTAATGTTACGTTGATTTAGAACTCTAAACTGCAGTACTTGTGGGGTGTTCTGACTTTAACAGGGATGAAGTCAGCACCCCTGATGGGACTTGCCTATATTTTCATAAGATACGGAATGTCCTCCAAGGAGGTCATGGGGCCTATTAAATCAGTTTACAGCAAGAGGGTGTCTCGAGGTGTTCACTGGGTCTGCCCTCAGCTCACTCACTGTCTTTCCATTGGCAAATCAGATGAACACCTAGGCAGGTTCTTTAATATATATATAATTTTTATTTTTTTTAAATTGATTTCAGAGAGGAAGGGAGAGGGAGAGAAAGATAGAAACATCAGTGATGAGAGAGAATCATCAATCGGCTGCCTCCTGCACGCCCCCCACTGGGGATTGAGCTTGAAACCCAGGCATGTGCCCCTGACAGGAATCAAACCTGGGACCCTTCAGTCCATAGGCTGACGCTCGATGTACTGAGCCAAACCAGCTAGGACGGGATTCTTTAATCTGACTAGACAGGGTAGATCAGATTTTTCCTGGTTGGAATAAAGACCAAAACCAACAAAATATTATCATAGCTCGATGTCATTTTCTTAAGCTAAGGCATAGGTTTAGTTGTGCAGGTTCTAGCTGGCTCTTTGTGGGCTGTGGTTCCAATGACAGCTTAGTTTTCAGAGTTTTTGTGATGCTAGTCAATACTGCTCTGCTCATGTCCTACCCAAAGTCCAAGCTGAAAACCTCGGCAGTATTTGGTCAGTTTCACACATTGGTTGCAGGCATCTGTTCAAGACTTACTATTTAGATGGAAAGAATCCCTTTCTCTAATTTCCTGTCTGAAATTCCCCAGCTCTCTAATTGGGAGGAGGTGATGGCACTGGCAGTGTTTTGGGATGGGGTGATGGCACTGGAGAGGCAGGGTTGAGTCTGAGTTCCCCACTTGATTTCCAGTTTCTGCTAATATCACCCCAGCTACCAGGTGGGGGTTCAAGTTCAGGCTTCCCACCTTCATCTAGTTGGATTTTAAATATTTTTATACATAATCAGGTTTCTTAGAGGACCACCTTTTATTGCTAATATTTGGGGGGACAAAAGGTAGAAGGTTTCGGGGTGATGGTACTGAAAGTGTTATTAAGGCAGTCACAGGCTCTTCAATGTTACCCTAGAAATCAAAAGCAAATATGACACATGTTGACCAGTGTCACCCCAATAAATTTAATAAATTAAAAAAAAACTGATACAAGCCTGCCCAACGGTCAGAGCACATCTGGAGGATGAGGCCAGTGTTGAGGGATGCTGACAAGTGATGGGACATCATTGTCTTATCCAGTGAAGAATGGTCGCAGGAACCAGAGAAGACCAAAAGTGACCGGTGTGGGTGCGTTAGATGTTCCAAGGGATACTTGAGGGCTGGCCCCTCAGATCTTCGGTCGCCTTCTGGGTCCCCACTGCCTGCAGCATGCCTGGCTCTACCTCGTGGTGGAAACTGAGTCTGTTCATTTCACCTGTGCAGGAATAGCCACCCCCCCTTCTGAGGTGTGAGTACTCCACTTTGGGGGGCTCTTCAGCTCCAGGGGCCCTGGGCCATAAGGTCACAGAGTGAGTGGATCTTTTCCTGGACAGTGCGGAGTGGTGTGTGTGTCTCAGTGGATCTAAGTCTGGAAACAGGACACATCTACCCAGCATGGGGATGTCCAACACTGGCTGCAGTGCCCATCCAGGCCAGCTGGTCTACCAGGAGCCCCTCACTTCTTGGTGTCAATGTGAGCATCTTCAGCTTCTAGACAGAGAATCTACACTTGACTTTGTGCAGCCTGTTCCAAAGTCAAATTGATACCCAGTGCTTTCACCTGCTTGCAAGGAGTGTAGACCTTGTTCTTGGTAGCTCCAGAAAAGATCTCAGCAAGTGGATCTGAAGGTTCAGCAACTGAGATTGGAATTGTATGGTGGTGAATTCTTCAGAATGAAAGCATAGGTGATGACCAGCTGGCTGTTTGTCCTGGAAATTGTGGAAGGGATTGTAGATTGAATAAATCATTTAAAATAGAATATACCTTGGAGGCTTTCTTCAGAACTGGTTTCTAGACTCCCAGGTCAGTTGACCAAGCCAACTTCCTTAAATTTATTATTTTTTAGCTCTTTGCAGAAAACTGGGTGGTGTGTTTGAACCAAATGTAAGAAAAGCCAGAGGAACCTGGGCTGTTTCCACATGGGCCAGACAGCCACTGTCAGGAGGAGTCCTGTCGGGGTGGGTTGGGTACTGGGCCAGCTGCCCAATAGGGCCCTTCCGACTCTGGGTGCCTAGTTCTTGTAAAGCCAAAATGTTGACTCCCTGCCTCTTTGCCCACATGCTTTGACATGCTCATTTCCAAAGATGATGGTGCAGGCGACCTTGTCCACCGAGGGCCAGAAGGTCAGGAGGCCTGAGGGCAGCGGGCCTTGCATCCTCCCTTCCGCAGCCACAGAGATGGTGCTTCCCCTGCAGACCCCATCTGGTCCGATCCACTACTGCCCAGCGTACACTCATTGATGCTTATACCAAATAGGGCATGTGTGGCTAGTGGCCGGCAGGGACAGCCCTGTCCCTGCGGTGGAGTTGGCAAAGAAGCAGCAATACACATTAGGTGAATGGCTGAAAGAGCTGTTTGGCTAAGAGGCCTTCGGTCCACTTTCATAGCTTTCCAAGTTCCTGATGAGGCTACAAAAGCTCCATTTATGAAAGAAAGCCAATCATGTAAATAAGCCTCCAAGCGTGGTTTTTTAAGGGAGACGATGAATGTGAAACCACCCACAGGATGCGGTAGGGTCTGATTTTTCTGTGCTTTGTCATTTCTCTGATAGGAACTTTTGTTACTTAACTCTGTGCATAACTTATTTAATGTACTGTATAAACGAACCAAAACTGTTAAATATGTATTTAGTTTGTTCTACTTAAAGTAGTCAATAAAAAGGCTATATTCCTTTTTTGACTCAAACTGGAATGCCACTGGGAGGGAAGGTGGTAGGTGCACTCTGAGACATCTGACAGGCAGGCTTCTGCGTCCTCTCCCCTTCCTTCCCCTCTTTGGCGGAGGGTGGGGGTGGAAGTGGGCAGACCTCCAGTGTTCCTTGCTACGGCCTAAAGAGCCACCCAGAGGAATGAAAGCAGGATCTGCTAAAGAGACGGTTCCAGCCGCTAGGCCTACGGGAAGACAGCTGAGGGGCCCAGGCCCCCACTGGGCTGGCTGCTCGTGCCCATGATGGGCCTGTGGATAGTGCCAATAACAGCTTACAGACTCCCAATTCCTTGTTAGTTTCTTCACCCTTAAGTGATTTAATAAGGAAACCACCACCACAGAAAGTTTGAAACGTTTCATGTCCTTTTTTTTTTTAATATATTTTTTATTAATTTTTTACAGAGAGGAAGGGAGAGAGATAGAAACATCGATGAGAGAAACATCGACCAGCTGCCTCCTGCACACCTCCCACTGGGGATGTGCCCGCAACCAAGGTACATGCCCTTGACCGGAGTCGAACCTGGGACCCTTCAGTCTGCAGGCCAACGCTCTATCCGCTGAGCCAAACCGGTTTCGGCTCATGTCCTTTTTATATTGATGTTAAATCATGAGTTCATTGCCTTCCCGTTTACTTGCTGAATGGGTTGAATGCTTTAATCAAGGCCATCGTGTTCTTAATTCTTCACCTCCTGTTGAGCATTTGGATTGCTTCCCGTTTTCCCTGTCAGCGTACTGAGTGAATGTCTTCCTTTCCTTGATTTATTTCTCTGGAATAATTTTCTGGGATTTCTAGAACTGAACACTTATCAGACTCTCGAAGCATATGTTCAAACTGCTTTCCCTGAAAGCCCACCAGTTTGCTGTGCCTCCAACAGGCCGGTCATATTTTCCAGGGCTCTGAGATGGTCTAGCCAGCTTTGTGCAGCTGCACCTGTGTGTATGGAGTCTTTGGCTGTTAGTCCAGTTTCTTAGTCGGTGACCTGAGGGCTCACTTCCTAAGGCTCTGGCCCCAGCCTCACTCTGTTGCCTGAATACCCACCTCTGGCCTCTGCCCTAAACCTACTTCCAAGCAGTCTTGCCCAAGACCGTTGTTGGCACCACGTACTTCACAGGCCTCAAAAATGCATTGAGGGGTCAGTTACTAGATCTCAGAATAGGGAGAAGGGTCTGGCTGTGGCCTTGGCCCCAGAAGGCAAGGTGGGGGCTTAGCTGTGTGATCTTCCATGCACAGGGGACCAACTGCCAGTCTCCACAGCTGCCCAGCACTGCAACCCACCACCCAGATCAATTACAGGATCTCAGCCTTGTGACTGTCAGCTTACCACAAAAAACATTTGGTAGCCAAGTCAGGAATCCACGGTCTGCCTTAGCTCTGGAAAAAAGGATCCCAGGGACTCTAGTGATAATATAGTAAAATACTGTGTTAAATTTCCTATAGAAATGGCAGACTGAAAAATCTGCCATTGCCATAAACACCCAGATGCCGGATAATTTTTTTAAATATTTTTTAAATCTTTATTGTTGAAAGTATAAATTTTAATGAGTGTTCTTGTAACTGCATCGCTGAGGTCACAGATAAAGTGTAGGAATTCCCCAAGGGCCAGGAAAAACTTGAGTAAACTGAAGCCTCAGAGGAGGTTAAATACAAAAAGAGGGAGCCTGTGCTGCATGGGAGCAAAAGAAAGTCCGAGAAGTGAAGTTTGAGCAATGAGCTGCCTCACGGGAAGGAGAGACGAGGCTCTGAGCCTACTACAAGGAAACAAAAGACTGGGACCTCTCCACAAGGCTAGAGGCAAGATCACTTTGGGGGGGTGGGGGGGTGGCGGCACATGCCTGTCTGCAAAGGGAACTAAGCAGAAAACCTCTCTCTCTGCCGCTGCTTAAAGAAAAAGAAAAAAAATATCTACCAGAGGCTATTAAGTATGTCTGCTCCCTTCAGGTTCAGATTTTCATTACTCTAGAGACCTGAGAGTCCCTGGGCTGAGGAATTAAGATGATTCTAGGCTTACAGTATCTCCAAAAGTGTCTGGCAGAAGCAAAAATGCAAATCCTCTAGAGAAAAATACCAAAATAATCATAATATTGCATACCAAAGAATTATAAACTATTCAAAAAAGTTACTGAACAGCCAATGAAATGAGTCACTCTAAGCAAGAGTCAGCAGATCAATAAACAATCAATTTAGACCCCTGGGACTTCAGATGTTGTTATCAGATACATAATATGAAGTAACTGAAACCTCAAGAAAAGAAATTGGCAAAAAGTATGAGACTAAAAATAACTAGGCAGACAGCCCTCCCAGAGCCTGTAATCTGGGAGAGACAAAGCAATAATCAAGCTCAAATAAAAATAAAACTAGGCAGATTTGAAAATAGAATTCCGGAAATGGCAATCACTGAAATAAATGCTGGGTGCACTATTCATCGCACAGCAGATTCGATGAACCTGAAAATGAGTGAAGCATTACTACATGATTCTTTGTCAAAGACAGAGAGATGGAAAATAGGTTATTCCTTCTGGCAGGTAAGTTGCTAGGGGGAAAGCCTTTCAAGTGTTACCGAACACGGAGTCACCGAGCCTGGTGAGCAGTGATTCTCAGTAGGAAGAGAAATAATTGGCCGCAGGTGATAAGATTTCAGAATGAGCAAACACGCATCAATCTAAACCCATCTGGCCCATCTGTGCTTATTCCTAATTGTGGAATTTCAGGGTTCTGAGTTGGGGTATCCAGATCCTCCCTCTGAAGGTTGGGGAAACCAACCACAAACCAACACCCCATTCCCCAGGACAGCTTCAGGCTTCATTGCCTGGTGCCAGGTGCCCTCTTGTGGACAATGCCAGACATGCCCCTTTCTAGCCCTCCATCCACAAGCCAGACTCCTATCCCAGGCACACACCCCAGCAACTTTTCCTTTCTCCTTGGTGCACCTTTCCTGAGCCTTTGCACACCTTTCTGCCCCACAGGTTTAGCTAACATCTCTGGGTGCCTTCCTAGGAAGTTCCATAAATGATCAGGCCTTGGCCCCATTGCCATCTACCTTCTGAGGGCTGGGAGCTGGATAGTCCTACCAGAGCCTGTGCTGCGCTCCCATGGCTCTTTCTTGCTGCCCCTTCTGCCATCCTGCAGCCCCAGGGTGTAGCCTCACTCTTTCCTTTGTTAGAGCTACCACTGTCCTCCAGCTCTGAGTGGGTTCCCATCATCAGGATGCCCAAGATCTCTCCCAGCGCTATTCACGCTAGACAGCAAACAGCTGTGTGACCCGGAGCAAGGTACTTGCTCATGGAGCTTCTATGTTTCTTCACCTGTAAACTGGGGGTGCGAATGATGCCTATATCATTGGGCTGTTGTGAAATGTGATCAGATGGGAGTCGCCCTAGCACCCAGGAAGCCCTGTAAACAGGCTGCCAGACAATCTGCTTTTCTCTCTGCCAATGTGTCCCAGCATCCTGCCTGGACCCTGGTCTTACTCAAGTAGTATTTGCTTTGAGAATGACTTCGTGAAGTCCCACCGAATTCTCAGTTCCTTTGTTTCACCCCGTCAGAGGCTGTTAAGCGCACTAGGTGTTCATATTTCCCATGGAGAGCTGGAGGCCAGTGGCAGCCACCTAGACTCTAGCACCTGGCCAGTCCCCACCCAGGACAGGTTTGAATGTGTGCAGGTGAGTCACTGGCACAGGTGGGAGGCAGGTGCAGAGGCAGGTGCAGGGCGTAGATGAAAGGGTCGGGAGTGGCAGCTAGCAGGAGCCAGGAGCTCTACGAGCTTTGGTACTCTATCCTTAACCTGGGTGCTATCACCAACCTGGGACATTTCACCATTCCCAGCACCTGCCACAAAGCAGGTGTCGGTGGCTGTTGAAATGAGCTGCAGAGCCACCAAGAGCAGGGTATTGAGGGCAAGGCTTGAGAAAGATAACCCAGACCTGATGGCTTTGACCTGCTACATAAATAAAGGCTAAGATGATGTTTTTGTAGTGAGCAGGGGTGAGAGGGAGAACAAAGGCCAAGAGTAGGGGTGACTGAGGTCATGAATAGTCCAGCTCATCTGGAATGTTTTAGGGACAGGAGGCCGCACATACTGGGGGTGGGGGCTGATTATAAGGGCCTTGAATGCCGAGTCCAGAAATCAAACTTGACCTTGATACTGAAGGCAGTAGGGGGCCATTGAAGGGTCTTAGTCAAGGGGTGTGGTCACCATGGCAATGCTTTGAAAGCCCCTTCTGCTGTTCCATTATGGGGAATGGACTGTTAAGAGTGGAGTGGGGACAAGAAGCCCAATGAAGAGGTTGGCATAGTCTTCCAGGCCAGAGATGATGGTGACCAAGACTTGGGGGTAGGGGGATGGCAAGATGGAGATGGGGGCTTGTGAGAGTAAAGCAGTCCAGCCCCCAACCCACCCACCCAGAAACTTCCATCTGGCAACCTCCTGGCTCACCCCCTCTGGTCTGGCCCCCCTGGCTTGCCTCCAATCCCTTATCCTCCAAGATCCACCTTCTGCTCCCTTTGCCGTATTCCCACTGCCTGTCTGCCTGAACATCTGTCTGGAGACCCCCTACTAATCTCTCACAGCTCAAAGCAAACATCACCATTTTCAAGAGGCCTTCCCTGACCCTCCCCAGCACCTCCAAGCCTTCAGCAAGGGAGGGAGGACACAGCCCCTCCCTTTTTTTTTTAGGTGTTAACTTTTACAACTCCAGAGAGGCAGGCAAGGGTACAAAATCTAAGGAGACCCTTGAGAGGTGTCAGCTTGAGGATTTCAGTATCTTTGCTCTAAGATGGCAATGGGAAGTTTGTTTTGTTTTGAGGATTTGCTGTTGCTTTTTTGTGGAAGGAGCGGAAACATTAGAACACAGAACAGAAAGCACATTTACCCTAAGTGGGCTTCTTCTCTAGCAAGCCCACCCCGAGCTGTGGGCGCAGGAGCTGGCAGCGGTTTCTAGGAACACTCAGCAGTCTGGGAAGTTGGGTGGCAGGAGAGCAGCCTGGCATAGTGCTGGCCAAGGAGTCTCAACCCCTGCAGGGGTCACTGGGGAGAAACCTCGGGGAAAACCCTACCTGGAGTCCCAGTCTAGGTCATCTACCCTGAGCTGCCACCATCTGAGCTGTATTCCTGGCCATGCCCCTGTGCCCAGCAAGGACCTGGCACCACTGGGGCATTCAAAACATTGGTGAAATGTCACTCAGCCACTGGCCAGTCACACCTGGCTTCAAGGCTACCACGGCTTCCTAGGATGAAGCACTTTCGAGGCCCTGCCACCTCCCCGCCTTGGTTTCAGCCCATTTCCCCCTCCCCAGCTGCAGCCCACAGCTGGCTTCTTTCAGTTCAACGAGGCAAGTTCTCCTTCCCCTCAAAGCCTGACAACTCCTCACCCAACGCCCCCAGACAAGGTCGGAGGCCATCCTGTTCTTGTGGTGCCACATCCCTCCCTTTAGAGCCCTTGTGTCGGTCACCACCCCCATGCCCGCACCCCTCCCCCCAGATGGCTAGAAGGAAGGTTCCCCCAGAGGCTGGACAGGCCAACTCGGCCTTTACTTCCCTGGAACTGCTCTATGTTGGATGGCAGGGGTGGCCTGGAAGGGGGTAGAGGGGGAGGTTCTGTCTGGGGACAGGTTTCACAGAACCCAACTATGCTATCTGGGACCCTGAGAAGGCTCTGTGCTCAGTCCCCAACTCCATTGCACACACTTTTGGCAAAGTGGGGGGTGAAGCTAGAGCCCCCAGCCAACTGTGGGTGGGGGTTGAAAGCACAGACCACGTTCACTCCCAGAACCAGGGCTTGGGGGCATGAGTGGGCCCTGAATTGAGGAGACCTGGGTCAGCGGCGATGAAGTAGCCACCGTCTGAGGCAGGGGAGCTTGAGATGGGAACGGGCTGATTTCTGAAGAAAGGCTTCCTGCCCTGAGCCTACGGTCAGAGATGCAAACCAGCCCCACAGTCCAGCTTTCTTGCCAAGGGAGACAGGAGGCGACACCAGAAGTGACCACTGCCTTTATTGTCTCTCTGCTGGGGTTGTGGGCTGGGGTTCAGGTTCAGAGGTATCTGGGGACAGCAGGTGACTCTAGACCCAAATTATTGCTACTGGGCAAGGTCACCTTGGGGCTTCCCATAGTGTCCTGAGTATGGGTGGCCATGGACATGCAAATTATATGCAAATGACATGCAAACCAACCCAGGATCTTCCAGGTGTCTCTGGTGCAGTGGAGGGTGAAGAGTCAGCAGCTCGCAGCCCAGGAGGGTGGTGGGGATATGCCGGCCCTTCCCCCACAGTGCAGAAGACCCAGCTCAGCCTCAGGGGTCAAAGGTTTGGGGTGGGGATGGGGGTCCCTGAGCATCAGCCCTGGTTCTGTTGCTGGTTGAGGAAGAGCAGAACATGGCCCCAAGATAGCAGGAGGAAAGCAGGCACCCACAGGGCAGCCAGATAGTCCAAGGCTCACGCGGAGAGGGAAGGGATCTGCCCTGGGTCATACAACAAGGCAGAGAGAGGCAGAGAGAACCAGAATCCAGGCCTTCTGAGTCAGGTAGAGGCCAGAGTGCCTGAGAGACCAAAGCTACACACAGTAAAATACACTGATAAAGAAAGAAATAGAAAGCAAGCAGACCAGTCCCTGATCCCTGGATTGAGGACTCTCCACCAAGCTGGTCTTGGAGGCTTCTGAGAGCCAGACCCCAGGTCTAGGATCAGCAGTATCCTTGGTCTTGGTGCTGAATTGACCAGCCAGAAGCTCCAGGAGGCAGGCAGAGCCACCGGGTCCTTGACTAATGCAGGTCAGGATCAGTTATTATTCATAATCCACCAGGAGGCTGGGGGTCAGAGGCTGGGGGTCAGAGGCCATAAAGGGTACACTGCCCCTCCTCAGGCCCCAAGGCTACAGAGAGGGTTGGGGCTTCAGCACACCTGGGAAGAACACGGTGGTGAGGGTTTCCGGAGCCCGCAGGTGGTCAATGAGGATGCGCTGGAAGGCCTTACTGCAGGCGGACTGCTGGTGCCTGGGGAGGGCCATGGAGTGGACTTGAGCGAGTTCCCCAAAGATCAGTCCCACCCCAGTCCTGCTGCCTGGATTCAGGTCCCAGTCCTTCCTCATACTATCACTGAGCCTTAGCTTTCTCTTCTGTGAAATGGGACAATAGTGTCTACTACAGGGGTCCTCAAACTACGGCCCGCGGGCCACATGCAAATACAAATATTGTATTTGTTCCCGTTTTGTTTTTTTACTTCAAAATAAGATATGTGCAGTGTGCATAGGAATTTGTTCATAGTTTTTTTTTAAACTATAGTCCGGCCCTCCAACGGTCTGAGGGACAGTGAACTGGCCCCCTGTTTAAAAAGTTTGAGGACCTGGTCTACTGTGCTAGAGACTGTGAGGATTACATGAAGTAACACACAAGTGCTTGACATAGGATGTGACACAATGGTGATGGTGTATATTCATTGAGCATCTTCTATGTACCTGGCTGTGTTCAGTTCTTTACATATCATCTCATTCAGCTCAAATGAAGATGGAACTGTTATCACTCCCATTTTAGAAAGGAGGCCACTAGGGTGCAGAGGGGTTAAGTAATTCTTCTGGTCACACAGCCAGTGAAGAGAGGAGGAGGATTTGAACCCAGGCCTGACTCACTCCAGGGCCCATACTCCATAAACATTAGTTGTTAGACCGCCATTCATACCTTCTCCAGGAGGCCTCATCCCGCCAGAACTCGTACAGGGTGAAGGAGGCATTGTCTAGCATCTTCTGAGCAGACACACTGAAGAGCCAAAGAGATGACCAGGCCAGGCCTGGGCTGCAACCATTGCTGCCCACCAGGCAGGGGTCTCTAATGGGAACCTCAGCCCAAAATGCTCAGCCCCTGTGTTCCTCCCTGCTCATTCCCCAACCGTGGCCGGCCCACCAGGAGGCTAGGCACTCACTGCAGGCAATGGCTCTGGGCCCCTGTGAAGTCCACATAGCAGCGCAGGGCACGGTAGAAGTCCTGCAGGGCTCCTTCTGCCACTTGAACCTGCCTCTGGGACACGAGGATATGCTGGCAAGAGAGGGTCGGGCAGGTCACAGGTGACAAACTGGCTGTGGCCGCCGGGAGGACCCCGCCCTGCACGACTTGCATCAGACCTGGCCTACCCTGAGGTCGGGCTCCTGCCCCAACCTGGCCCCAACATCCCTGACTCCATTCTCTTCTCCCCATCACCAAGGATGCTGCCTTGAACCAGTCATTGTCTCTCCTGCAGTAGGCCACCACTTCTTACTGCCCCGTCCAACCTCCGTCCACACTGCCCCAGACTCAGAAATGCACATAAGGGAAACTGATGCCCAGAGAGGGGTAGTGATTTCTGTGGAGTCACAGAACAAGGACCAGAACCCAGCACCTGCCTGCCAGGCCTGGGGATGAGGACTGGGCCGAAGCTGGGAAATCGGAGATGTGTGCAGGGCAGAGGCCGGGTGGGTAGCTGGTTCTGTGAGCGCCCTCACTTCATGATGCCCAGCTGCCTCTCCCTTTCCCGGACTCACCGAGCTGGGTCCCTTGGTAAGCTCCTCTTCATGCAGGGGTTCCAGGAGGGGGGCCTGTGAGGGACGGAGTGTGAGCAGGCACCCAGCATGTGCCTGTCTTGGGCAGATTCCAGGAAGGTCCACCCCCGCGAAGCACTGGCCACTCAGCCGCTCACCTTGCACTCGAGCTGGTCGATGAGCTCCTGGAGACGGTTAACCTGGAGCCGCCACTGCCTCTCAGCCTCTGAACTCTGCCCTGGGGGTGGGGCCCATGGGGGAGTTCAGGCTGGGAGGTCTCTCAGGATAAACTGAGGGGCAGTGGAGGAGCAGGCATCGGGGGCACGGCTCTGACCTCCTCAGCCAGCCCTCCCACCTCACCACAGCACACCTGCGTCAGAGGAGCCAGGAGACCAGGTGGGTGACCGGCTGACGCTCCACAAGGCCCTGCGCCCTGCCCGCCGGCTGCCACGGGGCCTGCTCTGCACCTCCACTCTCTCTTCATCTGACCTAAGGGAGTAGAGGCTCAGGGCACTGCCGGCAGACCCTCAGGGCCAAGGACTGGGGCCCCCAAAAAGGACCAGGCTTGGGTGGGGCAAGACAGACATCTGGGGACATGGAGGCCCCAGCTTCACAGCCAGCCAGCCTCTTACACCTTTTGGCCTCCCTGCCCCAGAACAAGTAGTCAGCTGAAACTACTCAATGCAATAAAAGCTGAGGGACTTGAAATGTGGAGATGATGGGTCTTCATGAACTGGACCCACAGGTCGGCAGGGCTCCTCACATACCATGGCCCACGGGTCTGGGCCTGGGCCTCCAGGGTATCTGACGCGCCCTCCAGCGAGCTCTGCAGGGCTTGTAGCTGGCTCACCGTCTCCCGCAGTAGGAAGCGTGTCACAAACTGGTCCACCTTGGAGGCCCGCTCATACTCCTGGGGGCAGAGGGGACAGAGTCAGCACCTCTGGACTCCAAGCATATATTTCTGAATGAGGAGCCATCCCTTGTTCCTCCCCACTCCCCATCAGAACGACAGTGGCAGCGTAAAGAGGGCCTGCAGACCTGGCATCAGCAGGAGGGCACAGGGACTAGGAGCAGGCCTCCCTCCCGGGGAAGTATGAGGCCAAGTTAGAAGGAGTTATCTGCCATTCTCCGGGCCCAAGGCCCCTTCCACACTGGGACTACCGCCTTCAGCCAGTGAGGCCCCTGCACAGTCAGGCTGGGGTGGGGGTTGCGGATAGGGCAGGTCATAGGATACCCAAAGACCTATTTTGACACAAGGCAAAATGATGGTGTGATATGGCCCCATACTCACCAGTTGGCCACAAAGTCACAGTCTATATATGCATGCATGCATTCATTCACTCATCCATGTAACATTTACTGAGTACCTTTTACTAGGAGCTGCAGACACAAGACAGCCAAGTTACTGACATAACACACACACCACAGCACTGAGCCCAACCTATATAACCAGCCTCCTTTTGCCCCTCCTAAAAAGGGCAGAAAGAGGCAGACCATTTGCCAGGCCCTCAGGAGCCATGGTCCAGGTGCCTGCTCTCCCTCTTCGAGGGGCCCCAGAGGCACCATCCATCAGGGGCTTTGCCTCCTGCCCATAACCTGCCTCAGCTCAGCCATCAGGGACCCTGCTGGACCAGGCTTATGCGGAGACGTAAGCAGAGAGGAGGCAAGGACCGAGGGGAGGATGGGTGCTCTCATTCTCAAACAGGCCAGTGGTTTCTGATCTCTCTCTAGACTTCCGTCCTACCCTAGACTTTCTGGCCATGTTCTGAGCTCTCTAAAATCCTCCCAATAAATTCCATTTCGGGCACTTAAAATGACTGGTCAGTTTCTGTTGCTTGCAACCAAAGAAACCAGCTGACACAAGCATCTACTCTGTGCCAGGCCCTGTTCCAAGCAGAATTTCATTTAATCCTCATAGCAATTAGAGACCATGACTGACCCCATTTGCAGATAAGAAGACTGGAGTCTAGAACAGTTGATTATCTTGGCCAAGATCTAGTTAGGAACAGAGCCAGAATTCAAACTTAGGCCACAGAAATCCCTCTGTACTCGTCACTAAGCACCTTCATTATTGAACCAATAATGAAACATCACCTCGTTTATGATCATTAGCCCTTTTACAGTTGAGAAACAAAGGCCAGAAATCACAGAGTGAATGGAGCCAAGATTCACCTGTGGGTTCTGAGATGCTCAGAGCCTGGAGCTGGTGAGGTCAACCAATGAGGTCACAAAGTGGCCTCTCTGGGACAATGCTAGGGCAGGGGTCCCCTGGCCAGAAGGCAGGGCAGAGCAGCATGGGCCGTGGACCCCAGTGTTAACCAGTCCTGCCATGGGCAACAACAGTTCCCACAAAAGGACCAAAGTGTCCAAGCAGGTTGGCAAGGAGAGGCCACCCGACATGGACAAGGCCTTGGGGAAGCAGCAGTTCTTCAGCCACTTCAGGCAGAAGCCAGGCGTAAGTGGAGGGTGGGAGGGGGCAGGCGGGATGTTGGGAGTCTAGGCCTTGAGGTCCAAAGTCCCAGGGCCGTGGACTATGAGGTTAGAGAATCCCCCCTGAGGATGAGGGTCCCAGAAACGCACGTGGGTATGGATGGGGCCCTAAAAGCCCAGCAGAGAGGGTAGGGATTCCAGGAGATGGATGAGACTTGGGAGTCAGAAGGGGATTCTCACAACCTGGATGGATGCATGGGCGGAGGTCCCAGCATGATTGGCATCGCTGGGAGATGAGCACCAAGAGTTTCCTGACGCCCCCTTTCCAACTCCTCACCTCAAAACATGCTACTTTTCCCCTCAAGCGGGCAGACAGGGACCCCAGAACGGTGGACAGAGCGAGGTCTCAGGTCAGCCTGGGTGGGTAAGGGTTTCCGAGAGGCGGGGGTCCCTGGTGATGGGGCAGAGTGGGGACCCCCCTCCGGGGCATGGAAGGATGGCGGGGGTACCGGAAACGTAGAGGGCATGGTCTTGGTAGACAGGCCCAGGGCGGGTAAGGCTCCCAGGAAGAGGGCGGGGCACTCATTTCCCTCCCCGCTGCCCCTTCCCCAGACCAAGATCCTGCTGCTTTTCTCCGCGGACAGGCGGCGGCAGCAAGCCGAGGCGGCGGCGGGCCCGGTCGCGCGGCCCGGGAGGCGGAGCGAGGACTCGGTGGGCTCCCTGGCGGCGGCCCCCAGGATGCGGGGAGCAGGCGACGGCGCAGAGTGGCACGAGGGCGCGCGTGCGCGAGCTCGAGACGAAGCTCCCGGCCCCGGACGCGCTGTTGGAGGAGGCGGGGCTCCGCGCAGCGGGCGGGACCGGGGATGGGGTCCAGGCCTCGCGGAGCTGGCCCTGGCCCTGCACGCGCCTGGGGATCCACAGCGTCTCCGACCCTGTCCAGGGGCAGCCGTGCAAGCGGCGCCGCTGCCCTCGCCCGCGGCCCCGAGCACCTGGTCCGGCACCCGGGCCCCACGACCCCCGGCCCCGACCCAATAAAGAGCGCATGGCAGCCCTGGCTCCTGCTAGTCCGTCAGGTGTCTGGCGCGAGAGCGAGACAGGGATGAACAGCTTGAGCAATGGCCACAGCGGGAGCCAACTGTTTTTTCCTTCCTTGTGACCCAAAAGTTAGAGCCCTGCCCCTGGGGAGGGGACACCCTACCACAGTGGAGAAGGATGATCCTTCACCCCCCAAATCGAGGCCTGGGTCAGACCTTGCCCGGTCTGCAGACCCAAGGGAGGTGAGCTCGAGCAAGCCCAGGGTTGGCCACACTAGGAGGGGCTTGCTTCAGCTGAGCATGGCACCTCCAAGAGCCCAGCATTCACAAGTCCTCCTTAGGCAGAGCCACGATCCCAAGCAAACAGCCACCACCGGGGAGAACTGTGGGGGTCCTGCTGTCAGCAGAGGTGGGGCCTGAGGCACATCCTGCCTGCGGGGGGGGGGGGGGGGGGGCGGGCAGGAGAGGCGCTTGACCCTTCACTGCCATCCCTGCTTGGTAACCCACAAGGGAGCTTAGTCTCCCCACCTACCCTGTTCCATCCTCTCTCCACATTGCAGCCAACGGCTTCTTCAAAATCACTTCTCTACCTGCCGGGCAGTTCACTTTGCTCATAAGCTCGCACTGGCTCTGCACGGCCCACAGGGAAACACCCAAACCCGCTACTGGGATTCGCCAGCCCGACCCCCAACCTATCTTCCTCTCTCGGGCTCGTCCGTGACTTCTCCCCTCACCCCCGCTCTGGCTGTATTGCCACTTGTGGGCTCCAATTTTACGCTCACCTCCCTAATTCACCCACAAGAGGCCCAGCACATTTGCTGTCTGCAGCTGCTTCTCTTCACTGTCCTGGTCCCAAACCCAGCTCCACAACCTAGAGCCTCCCCGGCACTTCGAATCTGCAGCCCGCTTTCCACTGGCAACCAACCTCAGAATGGCTTTTGGGGCAGACGCAGCAGGTAAAGGTCCCAGCTCACGAAAGCCACAGGTCCAGCTTCTGCTGAAGATGTGCTTTTGTTACTGTCAGCATCTCCTCCCGTTGCCTGCATCATGCTGGAGGTTTCATGACCCATAGCATCTCCCCTGCTGTAAGAACTGGCCCTTCCCTACCATTCACATAATTACAACCAGAGTAACCAAGTTCCTCAATGTGACTACACCTCCCGGCCATAGCCATGGGTCCTATCAGCCCCTTCCCTGGGACAGTAATTCAGGGGCTATAAGAGACTATTTTCTACATGAACATGCATGGGCTGAAGCCAATCTTCAGAAGAATAAAAACACAGACAGTGCACATCCTGGGTTCCCTGCAGTCAGGCCCTGCTCCCAGTCTGCTCCTGAAACCTGATTTCACCCTTGCCTTTGGTATCCATCATACATACAAGATCCTTGAAATAAAATCCTTATTTTAGCATACACTCTCGTGAGTGGGTCTTCAACTTGCAACCAAAATGGTCCTAAAGAGAATGAGACTCTGCGGAGACCAGAAATAGCCTCTTTCCTGTGTCTGAAGATTTCTACCTTTTGGAGGAAGAAACTGAGCTCAGAAAGATTAGGACTTGCCTGCACCGTGAGTCAGCTTCAGAACTGAGTCACAAACTCAGGCCCACATGAGTCCACAGGTGGAAGTCCCTGAAGGCAGTCCCTCTGTGGGCTGCCTGGGCCCAAGGATGAGCACAGATACTCCCGAGTGGCTGTAGATGTGTGATTAAGAGCTTTCTCTTCCGCACTGGAAGGGGGGGAGCCGTACATTTGGCCAGAGTAGATCTGATCATCTGAAGTGGTTTGGGGAAAGAATCTGGTTGTGCTGAGCAGTTGCAGCCAGACCCCTAGATGCCCAATTCACTGCCCTTGAGCCTGTCCCAGGAGAAAGGATGGGTCCAGGGTGTTTTCACTGGGGGGAGGGGGCTGCGGAAGCACAGCAGGGGCTGAGGACTGAGGTCACAATTAGTCGGATCCAAGTTCTTTTCCTTCTCTGATGACCCCTCCCATCTCCACAACCAGGAACTAGTGCCGTCAAGCCCAGGTGAGAGGTCCAAGACACGCCTGGGGCTGGACTCCTGGGTTCTCAAGGAGCCGAGAGCTGAAAAGAGACATCCACTCTGGGCAGAAAAAAGCGGTGCCAGAAATTGAGAAAGTAGTTATCTAGTCCGTTAAGGTAGGGATCTAGTCCCAGGGGACAGAGTCAAGAGCTGAAAGGCGGGCCTTCATCTAGGCCAGTCGGGACAGACCGCCTCTGGGAGCACAGCGAAGCCCAGAAGGTGGCGTCAGTGTCGGGGAGGCGCCGGGTCCGGCCGCCCTCACTGGGCCGCATCGCAGTGGTGGTTGACCAGGGATCGGGGTTCACCAAGGCAGGCTTTGCGGGCGAGAACCAGCCACGCCTGGTGTTGAAGAGCTCCAGCCTAGTGCCCCGCTGGGACCAGCCCGTGCTGCCCGGGGCGCTGGGCTGTGAGCTGGTGGGTGGCATGGAGCGGGCACACCCCATCAAGCATGGCATGGTGGTGGACTGGGAGGCGCTGGAGGGGCTCTGGGAGCGCCTGCTGGTAGGCGGTCTGCGGGTGTGCCCAGAGCAGTGGCCAGTGCTGGTGAGCGACTCGCCCTCGGCGCCACCCTCAAGCCGCGAGAGGATAGCGGAGCTGCTGTTTGAGGACCTGGCAGTGCCCGCGTGCCACATGGCCAGCACTGCGCTGCTGGCTGTCTGCTCCACCGGCGCTTTCAGCGGGCTGGCTGTGGAGGCAGGAGCGGGGGTGTGCCACGCCACGCCCATCTACGCAGGCCACTCGTGGCACGAGGCCACCTTCCGGCTGGAGGTGGCAGGCACCACCCTCTCGCGCTACCTGCGGGATCTGCTGGTGGCAGCGTGCCCTGATCTACTGCTGCAGACCCTACCCCGAAAGGCCGTCACACAGCTCAAGAAGCGCTGCTGCTACGTCTCGCTGGACTTTGAGGGGGACCTCCATAACCCTGCCCGCCACCATCCAGCCAGTATCTGCTTAGGCAATGGATGCTCCGTCTACCTCAGCAGCGAGCGCTTCCGCTGCCCTGAACCCATCTTTCAGCCGGCTCTGCTAGGCCACATGGAGCCAGGACTGTCGACACTGGCCTTCTGGGCACTGCGGAAGGTGCCTGAAACACTTCGGAAGAGGCTGGCTGACACTGTGGTGCTGGCCGGTGGCTCCACACTTTTCCCTGGTTTCACTGAGCGCCTGGAGATGGAGCTACTAGCGCAGTGCCAGAAGCATGGCTATGGGGCACTGCAGCCACACCTGGTGGTCAAGCCTGGGCGAGGAACAGCCGTGTGGACCGGTGGCTCCATGGTGGCTTCATTGCACAACTTCCAACGCCAATGGATGACCCGGGCCATGTACAACGAGTGTGGCTCCAGGCTGGTGCACGAAGTCTTCAACTGAGTCATGCTGGACTGGAAGGGGTGGTGCCACCAGCGGGCTGCAGAGGCACAGGCTTAGCGGGCTGAGCTGAAGCTCTATCAAAGGCAGTGAGTGCCAGATAAAAGTATCAGGTGACTGGAGCTCGCAGAGTCATTGTGTGGTGATGGGCCACCCCCTCTCTGTTTCTGGGCCAGGAGGAGGTGGTCTGGGGCCCTCACTATAACCTGCAGTTTGAATTCCCCTTACTCCTCCAGCTGCCCACGCCCAGGGCCCTGTTTCTATGGCAATAGGAAGCTGATGCCCACACAAGTGTACAGGCCACAGACACAGAAGTTGCCACAATACACCAACCCCAAGTGGTACAGTACCATTTGGATTCCCATCCCATGCCAGACCCCAAAGGTGACTGACCCTCTGATAAGCTACTAAATCCCATGTGAAAGCGACCGGAGGGGAAGCCCTGTCCTCAGCCGATCATCCACTGGCCGAGGGTGTCGGTTTCCCCTTCTATAGAACATCAGGCACAAAAAACGCCAGGCTTGCTCACTGCTCCCTCCCTGCCCCCTTATTAAAAGCTATGGGACAAAGGGGTAGACATCTCTTTAAAGGAACACACAAAGGCATGGGTGGTGTGGGCTTTTTGAAGTCACCATACAAAGGCCTGGAGCCCTGGCTGTGAGCAGTTTGTGCTGGCGCACACACGTCCACACGTGCACACAAACGTGGGTGAACACTTGCTGAATCCTCCCTAACGTCCTCAGGCCAGGCTCCACCCCCGCTAGGCTCTGCACACCAGCATGGGCCTGTGGACACATGTGCAAGCACACCGCACCCCCAACCCATCCCTACTGAGTCCTAGGCTTAATACCGTACAATAGTCAGGTCTGGCCAGTAATAAAAAACAGTAGTAGCAGCAGCTCCAGGTATTAAGCACTTACTATGTGCCAGGCAGAGTTCTGAGTGCTGGGGATGGAGAAGACAGACAAAAATCCCTGCCTTCATTCTCATTTACTTGACAAGCGTATGGAGGCAGGCCCTATTTTTATCCCCAGCTTACAGATGAGGGAACTGAGGCCCAGAGAGGGAAAGGTACACAAACAGAAAGTGGGAGAGCCAGGATTTGAACCCAGCCCTCTAGCTCAGCAGCCTAAGACAGTGGAGGCTCCCACAGCACAGTAGACCCCTGAACTCATTTGGGGCCCTACACCCATCATGACAGCTCTCTCACTCACCAACTTGGTGGTGTCCATGGCAGTGAGCACTGCACGGTTCAGGGACTCCAGCGCAGCCAGCACAGGCCTGTAGACACCCAGGTGTTCTGAGAAGTAGTCTGTGGGCAGAGAGGGTGTTCGAAGGTTCCCGCCCTGCCCCCATCTACCCAACAGAGAATTCCTCGACAGCCAGCCAGGCCTCACATGCTGAACCCAGCCCATCCTACTCATCAGGAGACCAGCAACAGCCCCTCATCACACCCAAGTGTCCGGAAGTCCCGGGAGACAAGCGCTCCAGTGGGCTTACTCACCACACAGTTTCTCCGTGTCCAGATTGCTGTGGAGAAAAGAGAAGGTGCCCTTCAGACCCTCACATTTGAGCCTGGTGAACTGGGACTTTGAAGCCAACGTTTCTCCCTCTCCCAACCCAGCTCAGCCTGACAAGGAGGCAACTCCTGACTCCACCCCAGGTTAAGTTGCTCAGTGGGCAGAGGCTGTGGGGCAGGGGTGGGGGGGGCAGGGGTGGTGGTGGGAGGGAAGAAGGATACTACTGCCCCATAAAACACTCTCTGAGGGCAGAAACTCAGACCCACTCTTGGCCTCCAAGGGAATTTCAGGCCAAGAGAGACAGATGTGGACACAGGCCAGAGAGGAGTGGTCAGAGCTGAGAAGGGGAAACCAAGGCTGGGAAAATACAGAGAAGGCAGGGGCGTTACTTGGTAGGTCAGGGAGGGCTTCCTACAGGAGGGGCTGCCTGTGTCAGGCCTTGAAGGACAAGGAATTTGACTGGAGTGTCTAGTGGTGAGGTGCAGGGGGGTGCAGACAAGGGGTCCAGCCCAATCCTCAGAATGTATTCTTTCTTTTTGTTGCTGTTAATCCTCACCTGGAGATATTTTTTCAATTGATTTAGAGAGAGTAGAAGGGAGGGGAAGAGACAGAGAGAAACATCAATGTGAGAGAGACACATCCATTGGTTGCCTCCCATAGGTGCCCCGACAGGGCCGGTGATGGAGACTGTAACCTAGGTACATGCCCTTGACCCGGAATCGAACTTGTGACCCTTCAGTCCACAGGCCAATGTTCTAACCACTGAGTGAAACCAGCTAGGGCGCTCAGAATTTATTCTAAGGAGATGAGGGGAGAAGGGCAGTGAGAGGGAGGGACAGCTGTGTACGTGTCGTACCCACGTGAGGCAGCATAGGGAGGAAGGCATGCAAACTCGTGCTAAGGCTTGTAGATGTGGGAGCACACGTGGGGTGGTATGTGCGTGTTCATGTACCTGCATCCATGGGTGGGAGCAGGCGGGCCCCAGCTGTCCCCAGGCATCCTCTGGTTCTGCAGGAAGCAGGAATGGGGAGGGGGGCGCCTGTGGGCTGAACCACGGATGGTGACTCAGGTCTGGCTATTTTAAGGTCCTAGTTGGAGTGTGGTGGGCAAGGCTGAAGCTAGGGAGGCAGTGAGTGGGTGGGTGAAACTTGGCACTGAGCCCGGACACCCCTCCCCTACATCCCCTCTCCTTCTGTCCTCTGTCCCCCATAAGGAACCATCTACCCACGGCTCTTCCATCTCCCCTTGTACTCACTCAGTGGACTGCCCATCAATGCCGCTGAACAGCTCCCGAAGCTCCCCAGGGCTGAGAACCCCGTCAGCAAAGTAATTCCGGAATTCCTCAAATGAGAGCTTCCCATCATCTGGGGGTGGACAGGGAACAGAGTCCATATCCCTGACCCATGGCTGCACCCCTGCCACCAGGTTCAGGCCCCCAAAGGCCTCACAGCATTTCACACCCACCCAGCCAGATGGAATGCGATTCTGAGCTTGGTGGGGACCTAGCTGTTGGGGACAGAAGGACAGGAGCCGCTAGAGAGGCCCACTTAAGGCAACAGAGACCACTTTGCATGTACCCAAGAGGGGCATTACACACATGGCATTGGGTAGGGACTCAATAAATGTTTGCCAAATGAAGAAACAAATGAACAGCCTGGGACACAGCCTGATCATGGCAGGGCCGAGATGTCACCTGGAGGACATGGGGGGCTGAGTGTGCCTCACATGCTGGCCAGCCTGGCCCCAGGATGAGGACAGCCTTTGTACTGTGAACACAGGCCCTTCACAGAGAAGCCACAGGGAGGCTGATGAGAGCTTCTCAAGGGCTGGGGCCCCTGTAAGCAGCAGACTGACTCCAGAGTGAATACCCTCCGTCACCGGGGCATGTAGAAAGGCTGAGAGCACTCGAGTGCGTGGCCACAGACACTGGGGAGCTGGCCTGCAAGGTCTCTAAGCAAGGGGATCGGACAGGATGCTCTGATCCAAATGAGACTATGCGTCCTGATCAATGGATTGGGACAAATGGTCTCTAACAATCTGAAGAGACCTAAAGGGCCAAAGGGTAGGAACAGGACCCTATTTCAAGGAGGCTGAAGAGCCCAATGGAAGTGAGGTCAAGGCTGGCTGGCTGCCTCAGCTCAGATCCTCGCCCGGCCAATCAGGGTACAGTGGGCTGTTCTGGGTCACCTGTGGGCAATAACCGGCCTGCATGGTCCCCTGCTTTACTTTCAAGCTTTTCCCAGACCTGCGTCTGCGACTGCCCAGGACCCAGGGCAGGAGGAGCTGATTGCCTGGAGCCAGCTCCATCATGCCCAGGCCCTCCCTGGATCCAGATAGTTGGTCATATGGAACGTTACTGAACCCGCTAAAAATCTAAGAGTAAAACTCCCCACAGGGCCTCATCCCCATTAGCCCACATTTCCCAGCCTCTCACACAGGGAGCCTAGGACCAAGCACCATGTAGACCTGGGTTAAAGGACGTGTGACCTCAGGCAACCTGCTTTTACCTCTCTGGGCCCCTGTTCCTTTGTTTGTGAAATGGGGTAGATATCACAGTCATATACAAAAAGGTACAGGTACCTACCTCTGTGCCAGGGCACTGCATGAAAGCCTCTACTTTCAGCCTCTGGCTAAACTTACATTCCCTCCACTCTCCATCCAGCCAAACTTGGCTCAAAATAGCACTTCCTCCAGGAAGGATGCCTTGATTGATTCTCTTGCTTTGGGTCCCCCCAAATTTTTCTCCATTCTAGATTGTACCCCCAAACCCCCAGTCCTCCCAAGCCTCCATGATGTCCCCCACTGTTCCTCCCACTGTGGGGCCCAGGGAAAGCCACACTCACCATTCTTGTCTGCTCTGCGGAAAACCTAGAGGACAAAGAGGCATGGATGGGAGCTGTGAGTGGAGTCTGGGGGGTAAGAGGCCCCTGCCCAACTTGACAGAGCCTCAGCTGGCCAACCCGCCCCCCTGCCTAGCCTTTCCTCCTGCCCAGCCTGGTCCCAACTGCCTGCCCAGCTCAGCCCTACAGGAGCTTTTCCAACGAGGGGGGCAGAGGAAGAGCACACAGCAGGTCCAACTGCTTGCTCACTTTTCCTGCAGGGCTTGGCTTCATGGGGGGTGCTCCAGGCCAGCTCCTTGTACCCTCACCTCCCACACTGAGTATATCCTGATTTCTAACTGATGCATCAGCCCTTGGCAGAGTCCCAGCTTGAGGAAGGTGGGGAAATGGGCCAAGATGCGGCCTGAGAATCCTGGGCACCTGTCCCAGACTGAACCCCCAAATCTACTGTGGGCCATGGTCCATCCCCGACTCTGCCCACTCTCGGCTCTTTCCTTGTGTGCTTGTCCTTCCTTTGCCAGTGTCTCAGTTTTAGCCTAGGACCTGACAGAGCAGGCTGGGGTTAACCTTCCAGGCCTGGGGCTTCCTATGAGGCTGACTCAGTGTGTGTGTGTGAGAAGCAGAGATGAAGGGCAACGGACACAGGTAAACAGAAAGGCATAGAGTCAAGACATGCTGCTGCCTCTCCCAGGGACCAGAGACTCCAGATCACCTAAATCGACCCAGTAAAGGGGACCAGCAGCCTGGCAAGGAGGGGCAGAACAAAGCCTGGACAGAGAGCCCCTAGCAGCTCCAAGTTCTCAGTGCCACTCCCCTCTGCTATTTTCTCCGTACAGGTGAGGCTCAGGAATAAATCTAAGTACTAGCCGGAAGCCTGACTCAGAGGTCTGCACTGGCTTGAGGTCACAGCAGCCCAGCATAGCCTGGTTGGGGCAGATGGAGATGCTGAGGGTAGGGGGTATAAGAGTGCTAAGCTGGGAATGAGGACACCTGGGGCCACACCCTAGCATGCCCTGTCTCCATGTGTGATCTTGGACATGCCCCTAACCCCTCAGGCCTTATTTTTTCCATCTAGGAAATGGGAGGGTCAGGTCCCTTCCAGCCAAGAGGGCTGTGGTCGAGGTGCTGAGTCACTGGGGGCAGTGGGGAAGGGACAGGAGTACAGCCTTTCCCACAGGCAAGGGCCTCTGGGAGTAGGAGCATCAAGAGGACCAGGTGGGACTGAGCACTGGGGTGAAAGGTGGGGGAAGCGGCTCAGGGCAGTGACTAAGGCCAGGCTATTTCACACTGGTGCCCGTGGGGCCTGCAGACCACCTGCCACCTACAAGAGGAGTGTACAGACCACAGAGGATGACTTTGGGCAACACTGACCAACTGTGGGACCCCACGGCCCCACGAGTCAGGTCTAAGGGGCTCTGGGGTCAGCACTGGGTCTTATTCTTCCAGGCCCCCTCGCTGGATCAGCCCATCCAGGGGCTGCCATAGAGGGGTAGTGCAACAGCTCCGGTGACCAAGTGTTGGTAGTCTCTGCCCCACCAGACACATAGATGGGGTGGGGGGCAGTGTCACTGAACCAGAGACAAGGAGGTGAGAAAAAATGAGACAGAGAACAGGAAACAAAGGCAATGAGATAAAGAAGGGAGACATGGAAACAGAGACAGCAGGATCAGAGAGAGAGAAGCCCAGAGACCGAGGCAGGGCCCCAAACAGACCTGGAGGGGAGACACAGACAGAGGCAGGGGCAAGGGGAGAGAGAGCTGGAGAGACACTGCCAACCCCCGGGGCCAGGAGAGCCGACGCCCCCTGCCCCCTCCCGACTCACATCCTGGAAGAGCGCGTGTCCCGCGGAACCGGTGGCTGGCGTGGGAGACCGCGGGGGCTGGGGCGCGGGCTGCCGGACCAGGCACACGGTAAGCAGCCCCGCGCACGCCATGGCGCCGCCGGCTCTGGCTGGGCTGAGGCTCCGGCTCGAACGCCACGGCTGCGGCCGGGGATTGGAGACGGGAGATTGGGAGGGGGCGCCCGCCTATGGGCGCCGGCGCACACGCCCAGGGCCCCACCCCCACAGCCCCGCCCACGGCCCGGGATGCCCACTAACGCCCCTCCCCACCCGCGGGGAGCCTTCCGAAGCACCTCCAGGGCCCCCCGTTTCCCAGTCTGGAAAAGGAGAGCAATCTTCAGCCTTTGGTACAGCGGTTCTCAACCTGGGGGTCAAACGACCCTTTCACAGGGGTCGCCTAAGACCATCGGAAAGCACATATATAATTACATATTTCTTTTGTGATTAATCACTATGCTTTAATTATGTTCAATTTGTAACATTGAAATGGGGGGTCACCACAACATGAGGAACTGTATTAAAGGGTCGCGGCATTAGGAAGGGTGAGAACCACTGCTTTAGTAAGTTAGAAGAGCACAATGGAGATGCCTAATACGATTCACTTTGGAGGTTCTGCCACCAGAGGTTCCTGGAGGGGTGGTCACCGCAAAGGAACCAGGCTGGAGGTCTTTTCCACCTGTCAGTGTGGGAGTACTACACAGCCAGGAACAGAACGTGAGGGGCTGCAATGCCCAACGGCAGGTCCCACACCATTACAGGGTCAGCAAACTGTGACACGTTATGGGTAAAACCAAGTGAATTCACCTGAGCATCTGTATCCTCTTTGCAAAATCAAGGTAATAGCAGACACTCCATAGAATCGAGGATGCAGACTATAAAGGGCTTAGGCAGTGGTTCTCAACCTTCTGGCCCTTTAAATACAGTTCCTCATGTTGTGACCCAATCATAAAATTATTTTCGTTGCTACTTCATAACTGTAATGTTGCTACTGTTATGAATCATAATGTAAATATCTGATATGCAGGATGGTCTTAGGTGACCCCTGTGAAGGGGTCGTTTGACCGCCAAAGGGGTCGCGACCCACAGGTTGAGAACCGCTGGCTTAGAGACTGGCTCAAAGCCCACCTAAAGGTTTGTAAAATAGGTCTGTGTGGACAACCTTCAACACCATCCTCCCCTCTGCCATTCTAAACCCACTTTGTGCAATTCATTATATTTAAAATGTAAAACAAGACATCACTCCCGGGCTCATCAGAGTCTTGTCCCCTGAATAAAGCCCAACTGAACTAACTCTCCGCCGGGGTCCTCATCCCAGCCAAAGCTGACTCTGTGCCCTGCTCCCTCCTGCTCCAGGGCCGTGGCCCACACTGCCCTCTGCTCGTTCTGTTCATGTTTTCCTCCTCAGTCAACTACCGCTCTCACCTCAAGCACTCTTTCAGGAAGCCCTCCCTGATTTTGTGAGTCCCCCTCGATTATGAGAGCCTTATGAGAGGCAGGAACTTGTATCCCCAGAACCTGAAAGATCCTGACACAGAATTGGCCAGTTGTGATTATTTGTTGCATGTTTACAAACGCCCAGGAACATAGCAGAGTAGCTTCTCTGGGGCTGGGGAAAGAAGGGGAGTTCCCATTATTGCTCCATTGGATCAGTTTTTATGTTAGGACAAAAATGGTGGTGGTGAAGCCTACCTTTCTTGGGGCTGTGAGGCTCAAATGAAATGAAACTAAGTAAGGACAGGGAGAAGGGAAGTAGAGAATGGCTGCCCTAGCTGGTTTGGCTCAATGGCTAGAGCGTTGGGCTGTGGACTGAAGGGTCCTGGGTTCGATTGGGGTCAAGGACACATGCCCAGGTTGCCGGCTCAATTCCCAGTAGAGGGCGTGCAGGAGGCAGCCGATCAATGATTCTCTCTCATCATTGATGTTTCATTTCTCCCTCTCTTCCTCTCTGAAACCAATAGAAATATACTTTAGAAAAAGAGAGAGAATGGGTATTTTCCCAGCAATCTTGACCTTTCCCACCCCCAGATTTGCTCCCAGTACACAATCCCAGAACCTGGCCCAAACACCATCAAAACATTTATTAAAACCAAAGCAGAAGGGAACAGAGCTGTTAGGAAGGCAAATCAAAGTGCACATTGGAGGATGGAGCAGAGCAAGAAGTGGAGTGGAGGGGGGCACTTCAAATGCCACAGGAGGGGCCCGTGAGCTGGGCTAGGGAAGTAGGCCCTTTACCCACCCCTCCTGCCCACCCTGTCGGTGAAGGCCCCTCACTCACCTCTCCCATCTCCCATCCGTCCTGGGGGGCCGCTGGAGCCCTGCAGTAACCCCCTGGGGAGGGACCATCCCCTTGACCCACCCATGGCTGTCAGTCAGTCAGTTTTCCTCCCTCCCTCACTCTCCCAATAAATAAAACCGCTGAGGCCTCAACTCCTTCAGAGTGGGGCAAAGAACAGCTCAGGGACCCCTGCCCTCCCTCAGGGGTATAAGGAGTTGGGACATCAGCCCCACAACCCTCCTACCCTTTGCTGGTGCCCCAAGCTTGCCAAAGAGACCTTGATAAATAAATAACGCTCCATTAAAGCTTCAGTCAGAAAAACCTTTAAGACGACAGAAGTGCTCTTGCTGTCCTGCAAACAAACAGGCCAAGGCCTCACTACCCGGCCTGGTCAGCACGCAGGATACTGGGGGCAGGTGGCCACCCTGGGCCTTGTGGGGCCCCTGGAGCAAGGAGACCAAAAGTGCAGTTAGAGCCCCCACCATACACACACATGGACTCATGCACACACGTGGACACACTGGGGCGTGTTTTCAATGCACGCTCAGATGTGTTCACCTTCATTCCCCGGTACATGCACACACACATGCCCATACACCACTCACCCCGTGTACACACGTTGGGTATTGGGTGCATGCACATACACACCACAAACAGAATCCTTCCCTTTCTGGCTTGCTCAGCCTCTGGGCAATAGCCAGACTCCAGAGCTATAAGCTTCTGGAGATAGAGGAAAGGGGTATAAATTAAACATTTCCAATCAGGCTGGGAGCATGGCCAGGAGCAAGGGGCTCCAGGACTGCAGAGACAGGGTGGGCATCTCAGGAGGCCCTGGTCCCCATAAGCCCTGTCAGAAATCCAGGGGGGTGAGGTCCCCAAAGTCACAGTCGAAGAGGTCTTTGATGCCCTCGCCCTCCTCAAGGCCAAAGTGGTAGTCGAGGGCCCCATGCGGAGGAGACAGGCTGATGAACTCCTCAGGGAGGAGGCTGGAGAAGTCCTCCCGCACATGCTCCAGGAGTGAGTCGGCTGCCACCAGTGGAGACAGGTGGTCTTCATCCATGGCAGCCCGCAGGCCACCCATCCGGGAAAGCAGAGGTTCTGGGGAGATGGGGGAGCATCACAGGCCGGAGATGCCCCAGCAGGGAGGGCAGAGGGGGCTGTTAGGCCTGCCCACCACCACCCTTCACCCGCCCACCCACCCTTCACCCACCTTGTTCCAGGCTGAGCAGGGGCTGGCTGGGATCCATGTCAGGGGTTGAGGAGAGAGATGACGGTGGTGGCACTGTAGTGGTAGAATCAGCTGCCCTGTCCTCCTCCCCAGAAGCTGCCCCTTGGGACGGGGTCTTCCTAGGGCTGATCCCACCTGCACTTTCCTCAGGGCACAGGAAAACATCGATGGGGCCTTGTTTGCTCTTAAGGGAGATCTGAAAGGCCTGGTGGAGGTGGCAGGCAGGTTAAACTGAGGCTCAGTTGACCACTATGCCAGCCCAGCCTATCCTGGTCGGACCTGGGATCCCAATCTCACCTCTGAGGAGTCCATGGCTTGAAGCTGGGTCTCAGGAGGGGCCTTGATCACCATGACCATCTGCTCTGCGGGGTCTGCAATGCTACGAAGATCTTGGCAAGTCACGTAGGCCAGGGTTGGTGGAGTCAAGAACCACATAACCTTTGACCTCTGGGGGCCACCCACTCAGACAGCTAAGGGAGCACCCACACTTGCATAGTCACTCCTGTCCTCTCCATCCTTCACCTGACAGTTTGTGCTCAAGCCTATCTCATGGCCCTGAGCCTCAATTTCCACATCTGTGAGATGAATCCACTCTGGTGTTAAGAATTTATTCTGACTCATGATCATGTTGTCAATTAGTGGTTGTCTCCAAAATTTATAAACATAATGTGGGTATTCACTTAAAAAAAAAAAAAAAGCTTATTTGAAAATAAAGTTTCTATTTTTATGAATGATAAACATTTGTATCTCTAATCCTAATGCTACAACCATGTACTGAATCACTGTGCTAAGTGCTTGTTGTTGCTGGTACCGACTTTCTCGTTTTAACCTAGCAATTCTGGAATTGGATTTGTTTCTCCCTTTGGAGATGAAGCTGAGACTCAGATAGATTAAGTAACCTGTTCAGTGTCAGTGAGTCAGTGCTGAGCCAGGACTTGCATGCAAAGCCAGAGCTCACTCTCTCCTGAACCCAGGGCCTGGGATAGTCTCTCTAGTCTCACTTGGGTGGGGCCTGCCCTCCACAGTCAAGGATATCGTTGGCTGTCAGCATCCTCAGAGAGCAGCTGAAGTTGAGTGGTACAGACGTGGATCAGGTGGTCTAGCTGCCGCTCATTCTCCTGCAGTTGCTGTAGGTCCTTGGTCAGTCCTTCAAGCTGCCCACCAATACCTACCGTGGCATGATTGCCTCTGTGGAGAGGTACAGGGAGGGTTAATAGATCCTGCACCCTCTGCACCCAGTCTGCCGCTGCCTCTGTTCTGAGACCCAGGTGAGCCCTTGCTCCTCTCTTGATCTGGCTCCTCAGTTGACAAACAGCAGAGGGCTGAAACAGGGCTCCAAGTCATACTGGCATGGGCTTAAAGTCAGACCTGAATATCTCTAAACACCCACCTGTCCCTCAGAGAGAGCTGGATAAGTAAATGATGGCACAGACATGCCGTGAAATACTACGTAGCTGTATGAAAGAATGACAACGCATTAGATGTATACATGGAAGTACTTCTAAAGCATTGTCAAGTAAAAAGAAAAAAGATGCAGAATGGGATGATGTATCAAAAACTGAAAAGGCACTGACCCAGTGATTCCACTTCTGGGTATATATCCAAAGAAATCCAAAACACTCATTTGAAAGGCTATACAGATCCTTATATTCATTGCAGTGTTATTTACAATAGCTAA